TGTCGTTGAGCTTGAGTGTCTGTTCTGGTCTACTGTGTGTGTGTTTGTCTGTATCTGAGTACCTTTGTGTCTGTGTGTGTATCCGAGCGGGTCAATGTCTTGAGTATCTATGTGTACATGTGTCTGTTTCTGTTTGTCTTTGTGTGTGGTGTATGCACATATCTGTTTTATCCTTGTGTGTCGTGTGTGTGAATTTGTGTGCATCTGTGTGTCGTGTGTGTGAATTTGTGTGCATCTGTGAGTGTCGGTGTGTCTGAGCGTTCGTGTGCATCTGTTAGTGTCTGTTAGTTTGTGTTGGTGAGTGTCGGTCTCTGTCTGAGTGTCGCTATGTGTGTGTGTGTGTCTCTGAGTGCCAGTCTGTCCGAGTGGCATGAGAGTCGGTCGGTGTGTGTCGGTGAGTGTCATGTGTGTCTGTGAGTGAGTGTCTGTGATGTCGTGTGAGTGTCTGTGTCGTGTGTGTGTCTGTGAGCGTGCGTTTTTGGGTGGGGTGCATACATCATGCAATGCGCGCGCGTCCCAACATCTCATCCCCGTGACTTCCAACTCCGCCATCACTCTGCGAACGTACGGACCGACCGGCCAACAAACCGAATTCCCTGTCATCGACCACGACAGCTACAGGGATAATAACAATAACGACAACAGCAGCAGTAACAATAATAATAATAATGGCAATAATAAATTTTAATTGCGTATGAAATGGAGCGTAGGGGAATGGCCGTTATCGATCGCAGCCGCGATGGAGCCATTGATTGGACCGGACTTGGCGATATGAGCAACACGAGCACGATCCGCGACATCCCGGCCTTTCGGACCCGCGCCGATCAGCGCCGATCGGCGCTCGCTCATCGTCCCTGGCGGGCACGGCGGGCGCCACCGTGAAAAAGCCGTCACCGGGGAGCCGGCTGCGACGCCGATATTAATAAATCGGCGCCGTCGTCGCTTGCAGTGCTGCCGTCCTCCCGCTGTCCGTGCACTTGCGCCGATCATTTTTAAATCGTAAACATTTTTTTCCTCCTTGGGTAATGGCGACGCTTTGCGTTGATTAATTATGCAGGCGGCTCCTGTTTGCTGCTGCTGCTGCTTGTTGTTTCCGCTGCGATGAAGGTAAGGGACCATGCGGATGTGGCGCTGGACTTGATGTTCTGTGTGGATACCGGGGGTCTGTGTGTGTAGACTGGGGGGTCTGTGTGGAGGGTGAGGGTCTGTGGCTGATTAAGATCTGTGTGGATACTGGGGGTTGGTGTGGATGGTAAGGGTCTGTCTAGACACTGAGGGTCTGTGTGTGGATACCAGGGGTCTGTGTGGACAGTGAGGGTCTGTGTGTGGATACTGGGGATCTGTGTGTGGATACTGGGGGGGGGGGTCTGTATTAATGGTGGGGTTACCGTGGATGGTCAGGGTGGTGCTGATCCGTTTATGAATGGGGGGGGGGGGATAATCTGTGGGTAAAACAAAACAGTTTTGTTGTCTTCCTGCGTCGGAAGTGTCACACGAATATCAAACTCAACGTATTCGTTACCAGCACTGCCTGATGGATGCAAACTATGAAAGGGGTGATGTTTCGGTTGATGGCCCTTCTTCATAGCGCAGAGGTCCGTGGGTTCAGCGCTCGTGTGGGGTGTGGCTGAGATCATTGGTCCCATTTGCCAAAGACGTCCGGCCTGTGGGAATCGACTTTTAAACTCCCGTTAATTAATCTCCGTTTTCGATTCCGCTCTCGCCGCCGCCTCTGCCACCGTCGATTGCGAGCGGGTCGTGCACGCGCGCGTGAGAGGGGGCCGCGGGATTGATTTTCCCTGTCCCGACCGGGGGAGCGGAAGTGTCGTACAAAGCAAAAAATACTTCCAAGTTTTTTTTGGCGAAGTGGCAAATTTGTGCAGGGGATCCCATCCTCCTCCTGAAGATGAGTTTTGAGACTCGAGGCGAGAGCCTTTCTTGAGCAGGGGGGGCCATGGAGATCGGTGGTCGATCCTTGCCGTCGGAAGGTTGAAAGCGTGTCCGTCTGTGACACGGGTGGGGGGTGGCGCCACAATCGTTCTCGTAGCGATGGTCTCATCTCCATGAGACGTTAGTTTGGCATCGTGTTTGCCGCATAGGGACTTTGCGTTTTCGGAGGAAGCCGGCCGCGTCGTTGAAAAAAGGTTGTTGACTGCAACTCGGGAGACAAAACAAAGCCAGAGCGAGAATAATTCGGCAATAACCGCGTTATAGCGCGCACCGCGCTGCAAACGATCTCCTCCCCCCCCACGCCCCTCGTTCACGACGAGCGTAGCTGCAGGAAACGCATCACCCTCCTGTCAGTTTGTGCGTCCGTCAGCCGCTCCCCGCGCGTTTCGATCGTAAGCGCCGCCAAACACTGTCGTCGTTTTATCACGCCGTACTACACTGTACTATATTGTACAGTACACTAATATACAACTGTATGGTGAATGCTGTGCACATGCACCCGTGTGTGTCGGTGGTGACGGTAGTAGTACAACTTTGTTGTACGACCCGGAGACCCCGGTACCCGTGCAAGTTTCTCTGCGACATGGCGATGGTGCGTTCATGTTTGGATTGTCCTTTAAAAGCGGGACTCGTGAACGCCCCCTGATCTGTAGCGGTGAGAACTCCGCAAGCGGTTCGTCACACCGAGGTTGTACCCGCAGTTGCAAATGCGTGACCGCAGTTTCCCATCGCGGCCACCGGTCAGCTTTCACGTTGCCTCAATCGGACGCTTGGGCAATGTCGTCGGGCAGCGCTCGGGATTCCATGCCCTACGCATTATTCTTCTTCCCTGTTTATGACAACAATAAAAACGACTAAACTATTAAAGCTAAACTTTTTTTTTTACAATGTAAGGCCCCACTGAGCTGTGCAGAGCTCTTTTTCAGAAGTGACCTGCCTAGCACAAATGATAGCTCAACGAAGCGGCTTATCATCACGTGGATATTTATAGCAGCCAAATAATCTAAACGTGTGACGTTGATTCTAAATGTGGAGAGAAAAATGAAAGGAACCGGAGAAAAATCCACGTGACCACGGGCAGAGAGAGAGAGACAAACATCTCCTCCAAATATACAGGTGTCAGGGTCGGGATTGAACCCGTGACCTCTTGCATACCAGGCGAGAGAGATAACATCTCGCCACCATCGCGCTCCACCGGCGTCGGGTGGGCGGTTGGCGCGCGCTCGTCTCCCCCCCCCCCCCCCCCCCGGGCAAGGAGACGATGCGAACGCGCCCCGGGTTCGTACACAATCCACGGGGCGACGCGTGAGTGGGATTCAGCCGTGAGCTTCAGAACCGCGGCGGTCGTGGCACCAAGAGCCGGAGTGGGGAAGTCGCTGAGTGTGGATGAAGCAGCTCTGTGGTCTCCGTTTCCTCTTGTCCTCGGGAGCGATTATTAATAATTTCTGCCCGTGCGCTCGTTTTGATTGACCGCACGATGCTGATGAGCGCCTGCTTCGGCGCGAAGTTTTTTGCGAGTTCCTCCATTTGGGTCGGCGCGGTTTATTTTCTCATGCTTGCATTTGTGTTTTAAATTAGCGCCTTCAAGATTTCACGGTCGAAAGCGTTCACGCGGTGGCTCTGTTTTGTCCCTCCGTCCGCAAAGTAGGGGGTAACTGGGACTTGCTACAGCATAAGCTCCACGATCTGGCACCCGTGGGGAATGGAGGTGTGCCGGTTAATCAGATTACAGCGGTTATCCGAGAGTCATACTTGCATAAAACTTTCAAGAAAGAAACTTAAGCCTACATTCTAACTGTGCCATAACAAATCATTGACTGTTTTACAGAGGTCACTTTTAGAGCATTCTAAGTTGATTGTAGAGAGCAGTGGGGCCGTTCAGAGTGTACAAACTGCCACTCGCGCCACCACTCGGCAGCGTCCTGAAGATCCCGTAAACAACAACGGATCTACGATAAACGCACGGCAAGGTGCCAGATGGCCGTCGGAATTTTTCCGGATACGTGAAGGAAGACTTGTATTGCCGTCTGACAGATGCCCGTTAATAGGGCGTTCCGGATGGTTGAGTGCCGGATGACGGAGCTTTTGCTGAAAGGGTTGAGCAATACTTTGGCGATCACTTTAAAAAAAACAACACCCGTTATATATGGATAAGCCTGTGGAGCCTAGGTGACGATGTCATTCAGTGTGACATCAGCAGTCTACGTTACTACATGCGAGCGTCTCTTATGCCGATGACAGCATCTTGTGACTTCATCTCATTGTGTTGCTCGGAATTTGACATCCTAATTAAAACACTTCCGAGGATAAGCGTGTGTTGGAGGAAGGGGGAGGGTGTTACGGAATCTGTGCACTTGTACGATTTTCCTTCCCCGGCTTTTACCGCCAGCTGAGCGATTCCTCTCTCGTCCCTCGTAAACGGCAACGCCAAGCCGGGGGTTGCGGGGGTGGGGTGGCAGCGCGCCGCCCGTGTCCTGGACGCACGGCGGAGTTGCGTGTGTCCACATGAAAATCGGCACGAATATAATCGGCACTTGCCTACGGCCGGCACCGGCTGTCCCGTCGACCACACCGCCCCCCACTCCCCCGCCCGCCTCCACCTCCTGTGAAGCGCAAACCGGCACACCCCGTGGTGCGTGGTCTTTGTCGGGCAGGTGGATCCTGTGCTGCAGGGCGAGTGCGGTGAACTCGGTGCGCTGGGGTGGCCGTCGCGGCGTGTTGCCCCGCGCGTCGTCGGGTGGTGGTGGTTACCCATCTTGTGGCTCTCCGTGTCTGTGTCAAAGTGTGTGGTGTTTGTGTCTTTCTCTGTGTATCCGTGTTTGTGCGTGTGTCTATCCGTTAATGTGCAGATCTGTGTTTTCTGTGTGTCCTGCTCGTCCTCGTGCCTGCCCGTGTGCGTGCGCCTCGGTGCCCATGTGCGAGTGTGCGTGTTTCTGTGTGCGTGTGCTCACGTGCGTTTCTCTGCCTCTGCCCGTCTGCTTGTGCACGTACGCCCGTGCGTTCACCCGCTCACGCGTTCCTCCATCTCTCTCTCGGTCTCCCACACCCAGGTCCTACAGATGGTCCCACTAAGCCACCAGGAGCCCGTCGCCACCCAACCCGACACGACCACGCTGAAGCCCGGCCGCAAGGGCAAGCGCAAGCGCGTGTCCCAGGACGACGGCGGCGGCGGTGGCGATGCCGACCCCAACGGGCAGGGCCAGGGCAAGGCCAAGGGCGGCCGGGGCCCGGGCAAGGCCAAGGGCCCCGGCCGCAAGAAGCAGTCGCAGGAGAAGGCAAGCGACAAGGCCAGCCGCATCGTCGCGGAGGCCATCGCGAAGGCGCGGGCGCGGGGGGAGACCGACATCCCCCGCGTGCTGGCGCCGGCCGAGATGCACGACGGGCGTCCGCCGGGGGAGCCGGCGGGGCCCGACGCCGGCGGCGACCTCGACACCGCGCCGCCGCAGGCCAAGAGGCCCAAGAAGAAGGCCGCGGCCGGCGTCGCTGCCCCCCCCAAGGAGCCCAAGGCCCCCAAGGAGCCCAAGAAGCCCAAGGAGCCGAAGAAACCCAAGGAGCCCAAGGAGAAGAAGGAGAGGAAGCCCAAGCCGGCCGCCTCGACGACGCAGTCCAAAGCGAAGGGCGGCAAGAAGAACAGGTGGGCTGTTGGCGAGGTCAGGTGGGAGTAGTGGGGGGTAGTGGTGAGGTCAGGTGGGGGTAGTGGTGAGGTCAGGTGGGGGGGTAGTGTGGTGAGGTCAGGTGGGGGGGTAGTGTGGTGAGGTCAGGTGGGGGGGTAGTGTGGTGAGGTCAGGTGGGGGGGTAGTGTGGTGAGGTCAGGTGGGGGGGGTAGTGTGGTGAGGTCAGGTGGGGGGGGTAGTTGTGGTGAGGTCAGGTGGGGCACGGGGGTGAGAACGTGGCGTTGTGCTGCCCTGCGGGCCTGGGTAGCACCGTGTGGCGCGTCACCGCTTTGGGCGTAGGAACGTCCCTTCCTCAGTTGTGGTTATTCTAGGACTCGTTAGGCAGTGTTGCACTTTGCCACGCACTCTCTCCTTTCGAGATGCCGTGTGGTAGAGACGTAGAGGATCTAGGAACAAAAAGCAAGTGATTGAGTTTGAAGCAGTGATACGCGGCGCGAAGTGCAAACACCAGCGGAGGGGGCAGTGCATCGGAATCCAGCGTTGTTCTGCACACTCTGTCCCGCCTCTGGTCCCCGCCATCATCCACCCCCGCACTGACTGCCGTGGCGAAGCCTAGTCGCCGCCCACGTGCCGTCGGAGGCCTTCATCCGGAAGCGGATGATTGGACGCGAGTTGGCCGCTCGCAGTTTCGGTGTGCGTGTATATGCGTGGGGAGCGCGGTATTGCAGCGGTTAGCGCGCTGCACCATGAACCTCGCGACACAAGTTCGATTACCGCTCACGGCCAACGCCGGTGACAATTATCTGAACCGGTCCTGGGCCCCCTCCCCTCGGTCGACTCGGCATAAAATGAGTAACTGATGCTGTGTGTTAAACATCACCACTAGGGGACAGTCGGCCGGCCGTGGTATTGGCCACCCACCCCCTCGTTCGTATGCCGTGCCGGCCTTCACAGGTGCAACTCTCTTAACAGCGCTCGCCCCAACGGTCTGTTAAGGCTACACGGGGGATCATTGTGCGTGTCGTGCGTGCTCGTGGCAGCAAACCTCCGGTGTCGCCCGCCTCGCTGAAGAAGAGCAAGAAGAGGAAAGGGGGGGAGCTCTCGCCGGACCACTCGGACATGGAGCGCACGCCGCCTCCCTCTCCGCCCGAGGAGGAGAGCCTGATCGAGGTACGCGGCCCGTCCCCTCGCCGCCTCCTCCCTCTTCTCCTCCCGTCGCCGCGCCTCTCACCGTCTCGCCCCTACTCTGTCTCTCCCTCTACTCCTCGAGTTGCCTTTTTTAAATTTCGGTCTTCTTCCAGGCGACGCAGCCGCCGCCGACGACCTGTGGAACTCGAATCGAGTCTTCATCTGGAGTGGTCCGATTCTCGTCAGCTCAAGCGGTCGCCCATGTAGTCCACTCTGACGGGTGTTGGCCAAACGTCCCAATGCAGGGTCGTCCTGAACAAGCGTCTTCGGACTCCTTGTGGCTTTTCCGCGTAGATAATTTGGCTGCCATAAATTTCCACACGATCAACGACTTTGTTGAGCTATCATTTGTGGCCAAGTCCCTTCTGAAAAAGAGCTCGGTGGGCCTTGCCTGGTCAAATAAAAAGTAGTTTTCAGTTTTCCTAATGGGGGCCCGTCTCTCGGGCAAGGCCCCAACCGCTAGTTAGGTTTTGAACATCGCAATTCTCTCTTCTCCCCGAACCTCCTGCCCGACAATCGACGCTCACTCCCTCAGACCTAAGCACCCGGGCCGAGCAGGGGCCAGCTGATGGTGGCAAGGCGGTGGCGCCGGTATCACAGCGGTGATTCGTGGTGAACGATATGAGATGTGACAGACACGTCGGGAATTATTGAAGCTTATCGCTGGCGGAGGGAGGGCGCTTAGGAGGGGCGGTGCGATGATAAGAGGCCGGTGACTGGGGAGCATGCGAGGTGCGTGTGCGGGGAGTGGTAGTGCAGCGGTTAGCGCGCTGCGCTACGAACCCGGTGACCCGAGTTTGATTTCTGCTCACGGCCAACATCGGTGACGATTATCAGAACTGGTCCTGGGCCTCCCCTAGGCTGACTTGGCCTCAAACGAGTACCTGGTGCGGTGTGTAAACATCGCCACTGTGTAGCCAAAGGCGGTCGGGCGTGGTGCTGGCCGTGCTGGCCTTCATAGGTGCGACTTTCTCGCAGCACTGCTCATCTCTCTCTCTTTCCTCGGTGCGTTATTGAGTTTGAATTGGCACGATGCCCAACGGTTCGGCTCCGGTGCGAGGAACCAAACGTCGGACACCGCGGGCACGACCCAGAAAAGCCGCCGGAGGGATGTTGCGTCTGTGCCGCGCTCAAACCGCGTTGTGGATGATTCGACCAAAGTTTGCGTTGAGCAAAAGTTAACTTCTGCACGTGCTGTGCAGAGTTCTTTACGGAATTACATTCTCGTACGGGGGCACAAGGACACGCGCGCTCGGCCCTTCTCCCCACCGAGTGACGGCGTCAGGGCTCCCACAAACTCCTCTCTCTAACAGCAGTGGTGGGCATCCCTCCGTCCCTCCCTCCCTTCTCCCCTCCCTCCTTTCCCTCCGTCCTTCCTTCCCTCCCTCCTCTCTCTCCTCCCTGCTTCCTTTCCCGTAGAAGCGGCGCTCGAACCGGCACGTGAAGCGCAAGCGCTACACTGAGGACCTGGAGATGAAGCTAACCGACGACGATGATGGCGACGACGACGAGGAGGTGGACGTGACGGGGACCGGCGCCAGCCCGGTCGGCCGCTCGGCCCAGCACGGCGCGGTGAGCCACCACGCCGGCGCCGGCGGCGAGCGCTGGCGGACTCCGTGCTCCGCGGTCGTTCATCACCGGCCGTTGCCGCCGCAGCAGCAGCGCGGTTTCTAAATCTCCTTCCGTTTGATTGACCCGAAAGTTCGACTCGGAGCTATCAGCCTTTCCGCTGCGCCCTCCTTCCTCTCCCCCTCTCTCTTCTCTGCTCTTCGCTGCCCACTTTGTCTCTTTTTTTTGTTTCCCACCCCCCCCCCACCCCCAGGTCGTAGTTCCCTCCGTTTTTATTTAAAGCTGCTGCCTCCTCCGTCTCGCTCAGCCCAGCTGTTGCGTGAAGGGTGGGGGGGGGGAGATAAAAAACGGAGAGAGAGGAGAAAGGGAAATGTTAACGGCGGTAGCTAACGGGGGCCGGGGGGGGGATGCATGACGGTCGGCAAATAGTCCCGGCGCATCGTGACATCTGCGGCGAAGAAAGGGAAGGTAAAGGTCGCGGCATGGATTATACGGACGAACGGCGCGTTGAGCCTCGAGGGGTGGGGCCTGCGTGCGAGTGAGCGGGCGGGCGATCCTCGCTGATGAGTCTGATGACGATGATAACGATGATGATGATGCCTCCTGCCCTGCGGCACTAACGGTATCGACCGCCGCCTTCCGCGTGCGTTAGAATGCGGCGGGGGTGACGGCTGGGCGCCGAGCTGGGAGGGATGTGGGTGGGGTGGGGGGGCTGGGGGGGTGGGGGTGGAGGGAAGCGCGGAGGCCACCCGGGATTGGAGGCAGTGGGGCGGGTGAGCGATGGCGTGCAGCGGCCACGGGGAGGGGGGGAGCAGGCTGCGGGGGATAGGAGGAGGAGGGGAGAGCGGGCTTCGGGCACGTGGGGTGGCGAGGTGGGGGGTAGGTGATGACGATTCATGCCTGGCTTGTGGTGGTCGATAGACCCGTGACAAACTCGCTCCTCCATGGGCTGCGAGTGGCCGGGTTCCATGCTACATGCGCCGCACGCTGTCCGCCCCTAGGTTCAGTTCCCCCACCAATCCCCCCCTCCTCACCAAGCAGTGCTTTTACAACAGCTGGAGTTGCGCGTGCACACCGCACGCACGCATGTACGTGCGCGCGTGAGTGCGTGCGTAAGGCATGTGGCGTGCGCGGCGGTGATGAAATGTCACGACGCCGCTTGAGAATCCATCCTTCTTGTTCCTCTTGTGTTTTTTCCGTCTCATTTCTTTCGTTTCTTGTGGGTTCTTTTTCTTTCCTGTTTCCATTTGCACGTTTTTTTTTGCTCTCCTCCCTTACCATCTTCTTTAAGTTATATTTTGCGGTTGTTCAGCGCCGCTCTGCAACGCGCCTTCCGCGTCTCGCGTCCGCCAATCGTTGCCCGTCCGCGACGTCCCACCGTTTGCGCTCCACGTGCCGGCAGCGCACGCGGGCGTACGGGGAGCTCTCGTGTGTTGCTCGCTGAAAATAAACAAACCGCGGGTACCCTGCGGCGTCGGAACGTCGCTCTGCAAGATACGGCGCCCGACCCCTGACGATGCCTGCTGCTGTATATTTGGAGTTTGCGGTGTCTCTCTCCCCATGTTCGCGTGGATTTTTCTTCGGGCCCTCCGGTTTTTCCCCTCCACTTTCAGAATCGATGTCACGTGTTCAGAGTTATTTGGCTGCTGTGAATGTCCACGTGATGACGTTGATGATAAGCCGCTTCGTTGGGCTGTCATTTGTGATGGCCAGGATTGCTTCTGAAAACGAGCCGCGTAGCTCAGTGTGGGCCTTACCCGGTAAAATAAAAAAAATACTTCAGTTTTCAATTACAAAAGCCTCGACGAGCCTTCAGAATCGTTTTCAGGAGGGTCCTTCCAAGTTTGGTTCGCGGTATGGGGAGGCGATGCTGCCGTGTGTGATCAAAATGATGTGGTTTGTCGTAATATTTTACACTTGATGTTTTTGCCCGATCCCGGGTTTCATTGTATGGGGATTTAATCTTCGCTATGGCAGGAGACCTTTATGTGACAAGTAAAAAAAAGATAGCATTGCTCTCCTTTAATAAATCGGTTACCCTGATAACCAGGTCAGAGCGCATTGAGATATTAGTATAAACTGGCAAGGGGGGGAGACCTGCGGGAGTGACTGCAAGGACAAGTGGAAATCATCCATCTGGGCTGAGCTGCGCTCAGACTTCTCATCGTTCAAGGCTCGGCTAATGACTCGTGAGCGCAGCACCCTGCCTCTGCCATCTCGCCTTAATTGCTCTCATTAATTAATTACCCTTATTAATGTCGGAACATTTCCGTGTACAATCAAATCGCCGCTCAACCGAGCCCGATCTCGGCGGATGTCGGAAGCTGTGCAGTGGCGCGAACCTGGATGAGTGGGCCCATCGCCACCACCACCACCACCACCGCCCAGGGCTTGCCAGGTGTTGTAGGCGCGGGGCTGTGGTGAGGTGTGGCCAGGAGGTGGCGGTGCTGAGTGTCACCCCCCTCCGTTTACAGTGTGGTGCTGACCTAATCAACTTATCATCGCGGGTCTAAATAGCGTTACTCTCATGATGGTTATCAATTGGACAACTAAAACAGCTCGCATTTATATCAGGCCCATAATGTAACAAATGTCTCCGAGTGCAGTATTTGGTCTAAGGGACTGCCCCCGGCGGCAGCTGTTCCCCGTTGTCGCGGGGCAGTGAAGAGCTGCTGGCGTATGTAGTGTCAACGATTCAGAGACAGAGTTTCTAGGAGGCACCTTCTTCATGAACAACTTTCACGGTCTCGTCCACACGATCTCCACAGTAACTTAGCCCAGCCTGTACACAACACCAGCCGTCTAACACTGACAGCGCCGACTGAGATGCCAACTCCTCTCCTACGGAGCACAATGTCGAGCGGAGACGTTTAGCGGCGACTGCGACGAGACGACAGCGACGACGAGACGAGTCCATTCCCAGAACCGACAGCCCCGAGCCCCCCGCTCTCGGCTCCTTTTATGCTCCCGGCGCGGCCTGGCTCCGCCCTGACCACGCCCCCTTTTTGAACCCGCCAGCAGGTTCCAGGGGCCTCCAGACGGGGTCCTCCGTGACGCTTACCCCAGTTCCTCTACTCTGCCGACACCCCGTGCACGCCCTCACCGGCGTGTGCGCCGTCTGTCCAGCACAGCTGCCGCTGCTGTCCACCAGTCAGCGCTATTACACTACACGTGTGTGTCACGTGTGTCGCGTGTGGCAGTGAAGGAGCCGCTCGTGTGTGTCTTTGCTCGTACGCAGGAACACCTGGGCGAGGAGGAGGCGGCGGTCGTTGACAAGATCCTGGCGATAAGGACGACCCGGAACGAGGTGGGAGGCTGTTTTTTTTTTACTCCTTGCCCGAACACGGCAGGAGATCGTTCGGCACACTCGCAGGGGCAACCTGTTGCTTGTTCGCCTGCGCCTGCTGCAGTCGGGTTATCGGAGCCGATTGTGCGACCCAGCCCCACCCCGTGTGACTTGTGGGTTAAACGTGCGGTTTTTGAGTGTGACGTTACTCTCGTCTGTCCACGTTTGGCGATTGCTTTGCTTGATGGCTGTGCGGTCTGCTCTCCTATAACGCGGCGGTAGTTGTTTCGTTCCTAAAGAACACCGCGTTATGGAAATATCGCGTTATAATTCATAATATATAATATAGGTTAAAGCGACAGTCCGCAATAACACGCGAGATGCATACGCAGGCCGAACAAAGACTGAGGCGTGTGGGTAGCATCTAAGAAGCATTCAGCAGCATGCCGCCTTTGTGTGATCCTTTGCCGAGGCAGCCGCACAACCGCGTATTCCTATTTGTGCGACGTAGTTCCGTTCACTCGATGGCATTATATCCAATTCGCGTTATGTAAACACGCGGCGCTATAGGAGAACGGAGGGTACTTGGTTTTTGTTTGTTGGGCTTTTTGTCATTTTTGTGACAGCCTAGGGGTTACTCTTGCGAATGTGAGACTCCTCTCCTGGTCTTTCACGAGTTCTCGCACCGGGCACGCAGAATAAAAGTGCAAACTTGAGCCCACTCACATGAAACATCCACCCAAATCATTTGCTCATTCACTCGCTCATTCACTCATTCAATCACTCACTCAACCATCCTCCCACCCAAACTGCTCGCTCGCTCGCTCACTCGCTCACTCAACCATCCAACCACCAAAACACTCACTCATTCACTCACTCGCTCACCCAGGTCACGAGACTCCTATTCTGGTCTCTTGAGTTTTGACACTCGTTGAAATTATCTTGAAACTTAATTTATTTCACACAACCCAATTTCTAGACGGCACTGATATTACGTACTCCCACAATGCCGTGTCGCTGATGGGATGTGTACAAAGTGCTTAGGTTCTTTTTAGGTGGTGGGAAGGAGGCTATAATCATGCGATGAATCTCTTCGATTGTGACGGTAGGATTGGGACTCTCACCATGCCTTGCATGTCACGTGACGTCACCACCCCGGGCGTGTAATGCGCCACAGCCATCCTTGATTTAGGTCATCGAAAGTCAAAAGTCAATGTCTTCATTATTTTAGACGGCAGAAACAGCAGGACAATTTAGACGCCCGAGAATCAGTTTAATCGCTGTAAGAAATCATCAGTACAGTATCGCCTTTGTTGCCTACTGCAGCCTTGTGTGTCAGGGGCTTTGTCTGTGACCATCCGGTCCGTGTCACTGTGGGGACGATCTGATTTTTACTGCCTGTGTGTCCGCCTGTGTGTTCACGTGGCGGTTACAAACCCACCGACCACCCACCCTCTAATGTGTCGTGCCGGCCTTTACAGGTGCTACTCGTTAGCGGCAATTGCCCCAACAGCCTATCAAAGGCTATACGGGGGTGAATCTTTGTGCACACAATGAGCGGAGTGCCGGGTGGCTAAAACACAGCAAGTTGGTATAGTAGGGTGCACAGGTGGTGCATTGGCCAGTCATCTCAGTCTACCCATGGCACCTGCTGGTTCTGTCCCATGACCTCCTGCCAGCGGGCGTACTACACTTCACATGGCCTTAACGTGCACGTGGCCTGGCACAAGCGCCGTGGTGATATCACCGCCACCTAATGGCGAATGACGGTTGTTGTTTGTTGTGTTTACACACTCGCGTGCGTGTTCCGCCAGCTGCCTTCCGGCGAGGGTTCTGTCGATGTTGAGGAATTCTACGTCAAGTACAAGAACTAGTAAGTACACAACTGGGCAGCGCTGTCGTGTTACTTATCGCCCGCGATTTTATCAACGTGCGAGAGTCTCTCTTTGTCTGGGCCTCCGCCGATGGGAGGATAGGACCCTGGGTGGGGGGGGGGCGCGGGTGTCTCGTGGAACAACCGAGGGCACTTCCACGGATTGGGTAACCTCGCGGTCAAAATTTCCAAATCCGAATGGGAGGGGTGGGGTGTCAATAATAATATGACCCGGGTGGGGGGTGGTTGGAGGCTGCGTCAGTGTGATGGTGTTCACGTCAACATCTACAATTGCACACGCAGAGGTTGCTTACGTGCGTGCGGCCTTATCCAGGCCACCAGCTCGGCAGGACTGGATGTGTGGCCGTTTTGTCGTTTCCAACCACCAATTCTGTAAAGAGTTGAGGACATGTTACCGTCCCAACAACAGGGAGCAGAGTGGGAATTGAACACGCTAATGGTACGCTAATGCTACTTTCATCCAGCGGGAGAAAAATGAGGCAGAGCAACCGCACAAACTTATCAATGAGACTGAAGACGAAAGAAAGTAACCGATCCTTGACTTAAATCACAACCACTGGTCGTGACCTATTTTTGGAGTCGCCGGGCAGTGAGTTGTTAGCTGGGACCGTAGCCCTCTAATGGCTAAAGAAACAGATGCGGTTTTGGTGTCAGACACATGACAAGAGCGGTGCTTCAGGTTTGTTCTCTGCAGCGGCAGCAATGGCAGCAGTAGTAGCAGCAGCAGTAGCAGCAGTAGTAGGAGTCGTGGCAGTGGCAGCAGCAGCAGCAGCAGCAGCGGGCCGACGTGTGTGAATCGCCATGCAGAGCTCAGCACTTCGAGCCCACGGTGCAAAACGATGAATGAAAGTGGCCAGAGTGTGATGTGGTGCTCCCCCCTCCCCTAATCTCCCCCCCCTCCCCCCACCCCCGCCCCGTTCCCCAGCTCGTACCTGCACTGCGAGTGGGCCACCGTGCCGCACCTGGAGCGGGACAAGCGTGTCCACCAGAAGATCAAGCGCTACAAGGCCAAGCAGGCGCTGCTCAACAACTTCTTTGCCGAGGTGGGGAGGCCCGGTGGACACCCCCCCAATCCCCAAACCTTTATTGCAGGCTGACCATAGAACAAAGACGGTCACTGTATTGCGCGCTTTCAGATGCGCCCCAGACGGCTCTGCAGCCGTCTGGAATGCTCCTCCGATGTTATGAAGCTACTGGAGCTTCACACTTTTAAATCATCTGGATTGACAACTAATTTCTTTAGAAATGCTTTTGGTGTGCTCGTTTGTTGTCCTTACCCCACGCCTCTGATTAGTACGGTTGGCTACGTACGGTGCGAAATAAGATCTGCATATATATACTATTGATGAAGACAATTAAGTTTATTTGAGTTTAACTAGGTAAGAATTAAACTGATCGGCAAAATAACAAAAGCAAAACAAACAAAAGTAAACCGCAATTACGCAAAATGGAAATCGAAGGAAAAACAAGTGCGTCGTCTGCCCACGCAAGAAATAAACAATACTGCGCAAACACTAATCAGCGTTTAAATAACAGATGCCCTGCGGCGCGAATCAGCTCGGGCCGATTCCGTCCCGACCGCGATTGTCTATCACAATTCTAAAGTTAGATTCCACGGAAATATGGGGGTGGGTGCTATGAACGTGTGAACAGAAAAGGGGATCTGACGCGGTCGCGCAAAATACAAGTGAGCTTTTCAAGGTGGAGGCCCTCTGATCTTCTCCGCCGAAGAGCGCGCCGGGCGCACGCGTTCCTGTCGGCCTGCGCTGGCCCACTCTCCCCACTCCGCGTGCGCATCTCGTCAGATAGGCCTGTGTGTGTGTGTGTAAATATGAATTTGTATAAATAATAGGTAACCTTATTGGGCAAATGGCTCGTTGACTAAGCAGATGCGATACGTAAATAATCGGACCGTGTCCTCCCATATCTGTCTCTTTACATAAAATATAAACACAATATATGAGGGTGCCACGGTGGCGAGATGTTGTTAACTGCCTCGCCTGGTATACAGGAGGTCGTGTGTTCGATCCCGACCCTGTCACTTGTACATTTGGAGTTTACATGTCTCCCCGTGGTCGCATGGATTTTTCTTGGGGCCCTCTGGTTTTTCCCTCCACATTTAGAATCTTGGCTGCTATAGATTTCCACATGAGAGAAGCCACTTCGTTGAGCTATCACTTGTGACCAGGGGCCAGGTCGCTTCTGAAAAAGCCATATAGCTCAGTGGGCCTTACCTGGTAAAATAAAAATCCCGCACCTCCGATTCGGACGGTTGGCTACGTACGGTGTGAAAGAAGTTCGACATGCCACTGCTGCCAACGTGGTATCTTGATTATTAATATTGTCTCGTGATTATTAATATTGTCTCGTGATTATTAATATTGTCTCGTGATTATTAATAATCACGGGGGGGGGGTGTAAGTGGCAAGGAGAGGGAGGAGAAGGGGGGGGTGCCCCCCTCGCCCCCGCCCCCCACACAGTTTTTACGAATTCATGCGGCGCACCCCAGCGGTGACCGAGATTGGAATTTAATCGGGCATTAATGATGGCGGTAATTGGATTGATGACATCAGGAAATTTCATTACAAGTGTCTGGAATCTGCATGCAAATTTTCGTCTTAATTTTAATTAATTTAATTTTGTTGGGAGTGATAATTGAATGGCCCGCGTCGTTGCCAACCGCTCGGTTGTAAGCGCCCTGCCGTCCGCTGCTGTGTGACCTGGCACTGAGCTCTGAGGAGTCGGACAAAACCTCGCGTGTGTGCGTGTGCGCGACGCCTCTGGGATTGCTACAAGTGTGCAGGCAAAGGTCCCCCCCCCCATGTAGCGCGCCACAAGCTGTTGGGGGGTCGGCGCTGTTAGTCTATGTAGGCCGGCATGGCGGCGCAACGAGGCGACGGTGTTTTCAGCGCCACACTCGGCCTCCTTCGTCTCCCTCGTGGCGATGTTGACACGCTGCGCCGTGTACTCATAACACCAGCTATGCATTTTAAGCCGAGTCAACATTAGGTGGAAAGCCCAGGATGGGTTCAGGTATCCTCCACCCATGTTAATGGTGGGGAATCTAACTCGGGTGTCAGGAGTTCCTAGGGCAGCGAATTGGGGCGTTGACCGATGAAGAGACGCGAGTGTCAGTGAATGTCTTGAGCGGGGGGTTGAGGTGAGTGAGGACACGTCCCGTGCGAGCCGTCACTGCACCCCGTCTGTAGGACAGGCTGCCCACTCATCTTAAGCGGTTTAACTCCTTCCTCCCCCGGGGGCCACTCTTGGCGAAATCCGGCGCGGATCGCACGTGCGCTAGCGATGCGCGCCAGCGACGCGTCGAGGAGCTTTAACCGCCCGCGCATACGGCCGCGTCGGGGACGTCCATCAGCCCCCGGTGCGACCTCGCGGTGACGGTTTCAATAGTTGCCGTACCGGCGCTGGCGCCTTACCGGCGACGCCGACGCGGGTGGCGGCTTGCTCGCGCCAGGGGCCAAGCTGTTAACCCCCGGAGGCCCGCTTTGACGCGTCGTGCGTGCGCGCGCGCGCGACTGCTAATTGCTTCCTAATGGCGTCGATGCGTGGGAGCGGGCGGACCTGCCTCATTAGTAGGCCGATCAGGTGCCCGGGCGCCGTTAATTGGCTCTCTGCGGCCCCGGCGCTGTAATCGCCGCGCGGAGGCGACGGCGCCGGGCAGCAGGGGAGCGGTTTGCGGCGCACGAGAGCCGGCGAAGGGCGAGAGAGAGTCTCGGCATTCTCAATCCCGGCACGGGGCGCTCCCCCGGCCTCCGGGGGCGCCGGACCCACCGCGGTCATCCGGCACACTCGATGAACTCGGCGGAACGAGGGAGCGTGCGCTGGCGCTCGAGTCGACAGCCCTTTTTGGTGGCGTGGGCGGGGGGTGTGGGGAGTCCGGCTTCGCCCGCCTGTCTGTCACGCTGTTCCGATTGGAGCTCCCCCCCCCCCTCCCGGTAATCCTGCAACCGGCGCTGCCGAGTTGAGGTGGCTGCGCTTGCGTTGAGAGGAGCCCATTGGAGCTGTGACGGCTGCCCGCGTCGTCTGCCCCAGCGGTTCGCCTGGGCGACTGGCTGGAGAATTCCGGTGTGCAGACTTGACGATAGAATTGCTGATCCGTGGCGGTTGTTTGTCTGTACTTCGCCACGCCGCCCATTGTGGGTTTGCGAGGCTGGGGAGCATAGACGTGCAGCACGACAACATTTTTGCACGTCGTGTAGCCACAGCCGGGCAGACCGCAACCACAAGCGTGGCAGGTTGTCCTTGGATGGGCTGTCCAGGCACAAACCTGCTTGGCTTGCGTGATGGAGAGGGGCGTTCCGGTTGAGAGTGCTCGTAGCAACCCAGTTGGGGAAGTGAGCGTGCGTCGAGTTGCGTGGACTGGAGAGAGTCGCGATCCGTCGATGATGCCCACAACAACTACGGGAAGTGGGGTTGTTTGGCGTAAAAAAAGTCTGAGCGACTCCATCTAGGCGCTAGGCGCGAGTGAACACGAATCACGGGGTAGAGGAAGCAATCGCAACCGAGGTCTCGTGGCATTAATTCCTCTCCGTGGCGGCGAGCCCCACCCCCCCTCCCGGTCTCCGTGGCCGGGCGAGGATGAGTGAAGCGCGAGTCTTAAGAGGGGCGGTTGTACGGCATCTGTTACCGATTTAATAACCGGGCGTAATGGTAGCCGGTAGGGCTGTAATGGTACAAACATTAATGTGGATTCTCGTGCAGCTCCCCCGGCATGTTTCCGCGTTTGTACCGCGCGTCGTTTGGCAACCGTAGTTTTCGCTCCACGTGCCCCCCCCCCCGCGGCTTCTCAAGCCCGTGGAGCGAAACGTCGGGACGTCGCGCCGATAAAACTTGGCTCACGATACAGGCACACAGGTGGCTGCTGTGGAAGTTGTTGAGGTTGGTCCAGAAACCGCAAGTGGTTGGTCAGAGCGCGCTTTCAGGCTACGTGTCCCTCTTGTCACACCATATGTAGGTGTTCATAATCAAGGTTTTTGTCTTGCGTTAGATGGCATAAATATATGCGTCCTTAACCCGCCACCAAAAATCGCCTGATGAGGCTGGATGTTTAAATCGCCAGCGAAACATCACGGTAATCAAATTGTAAATCTTATAGTGGGTTTACTCTCCAACACACCGGTGTGCTGAAGGAGTATTTTGCACGTTTTGTTTACTAATTGGCTGTGGGTTTAACGACACATTCATATTTACGCGATCTAACCCAAACAACCGTCATGAATAATATTTGTCGCGAAAGCTCACGTGTTGTTAAATTGTATGTATGTTGAACTTCTCTCGCACCGTACGTAGCCGGAGAGCGAACCGATAAATGGTCAAGTGTCCGATTAGTTAAACAACCGGGGCAGCTGCGCTCTGCACTAAACCCGTGGTATTGAGCGGCTCCCTCCAACGAGCTGAACATTCAGAATCAGAATATGCATTATTTATACTGCAGGAATCTGATGATTTCCCCTCTCGCCGCCAAACTCCCATGCCTGGCGGTCGCCCCCACTCGGGACCGCACCACTCCGGTGCGGCGAGTATCGGCCCCGCTGCGACCCCCCCCGACCGCCACCCCTCCCTCCACCGCGCCGGCGCTGCCGGTAACGCCCCGTGTGCCGCACGCCGCACCCCAATCGCCACGGTGCCATCGCTATCCCCACCCTCTCGGCGCTGTCGTCCCTTTGCCGTCGACCCCCTGTTGTCCACCCGCTTGTTGTCGTCACCTTGCCGACGTCATCCCTAACATCCGTACCCCACCCCCGTGTGCGTGTGTGCGTGTGCGCGTGTGTGCGTGTGTGCGTGTGTGCGCGCGCCAGATGGACGACGAGCCGTTTAACCCCGACTACGTGGAGGTGGACAGGATCCTCGAGGTGTCTCACTGCACCGACAAGGACAGCGGGGAGGTGAGCGCGGAGGATGTGCGGACGCCTGGTGGTATTGGTGGTGGTGTGGCATGGACACCTGGTGGCGGGGGGGGGGCACCTGTTGGGGGTGGAGACACCGGGGGGTGGGGTAGGTGGGGACACTGGGTGGTTGGGGGGAGAGATGGACCTACATAGTGGTAGGGGAGGGGGGCGGTTACCTGGTGGGGTAGGTGGGGGGGGGTACCTTGTGTGGTAGGAAGACATCGCGTGGGGTAGACGGGACACCAAGTGGTGTGGGCAGACACCTGCTGCTATTGGTTGGTGTGCACACCTGTGTGTGTGTGTGTCTGTGTGTATGTGAGTGCGTCTGTGTGTGTGTCTGTGTATGTCTGTGTGTGTCTGTTCGCCCACCTCACTTGCACTTTTCCGGTGGAGGTTAATCAGCTGTTTTTAGTGGGTTTCTCCTTCCTTGCACTCAACCACTGGAATCAACTTCCCCTGTACATTGATTGAGCGGTCCCCCTCCTTTACCTCCATCTGTTCCTCTCTCAAAGCCTCCCCACCTCTTCTCCATCGCCTATTCCCTTCCTCTTCCCTCTCCTCGTCCCACCACTCCGTCCTGTCTCTCCCCGTCGCCCTTCCGTGACCCCCACGTGCCCTCTGTTACGGTCACTCATTCCTCAACCCTATTACTGCCTCTTGCCATCTAAACCACTCGGCTATTGTGGCAGCTTTTAAACTACGCTATAGAGAGCGCTTTGAGCAGAGGAGCTCTCCATAAATATAAATGAAGATAAGAAAATAAGTTTATAATCGCACTTCTGTATGCTGCATAGAGGTTGTGCCGTTAAGAGTAAGCACAGCCACACGTGCAGATCATCTCCAAAACACCAAAGCCGAGCGTGCCGTGCACGTGCCCTGCTGTGCGGTCAAAACGACTCGCCTGCAACTTCAGGCCTTGACCGAGTCGTCACCCCGTCGGACCTCGGAAGCTCTAAGCCGGCTTTGAGGCCGCCGCGTGCTTGGGGGCAGAGGGAGGGCTTGCCTGCAAGTGCCCGGGTGTGGTCGGAGTGGGTAGCGGGAATTGGTATTGGGAGTGCCCGTTCTTATTTTTCATCATTTTGGATACTGGCAAAAAGGTGTCCCACAGATATAACTGCTTGGCCCGAGCTGTAAGTGTTCTGTTACTTCGATTGCCTTTGTGCTGCTTACCTTTTGGCGCTCTCTGATCTAACACTGGTGAGACTAGGCCATAAAGACGGTTGTTTCTGGTGTAGGCCAATCAGTTACAAAGACGATGCATTGTACATTATCAGAGCATGTTTGTTGGCATGTTTTGCCACAAGTATGTGTGGTTAATACATACTTGATTCCTTGCACAAAAGGTTTCTATTTGGTGTTTGAACATCTTAAAGCCTTGTGTGTTATTGCCAGAAAGGGTAAACGCACCTATTCTTCTGTTTCATCAGAGGGAGGTCGCTCGCTCCTCTGCTACCACGTGGCCCAGGAATGTACCCCCCACCCTGCAGTCCGTGCTGTTGGCTCCCTGCCCCCGTCCAAGACTCTCATGCTCACACAGGGGCCCATAGACTTGCATAGAGACCCATAGACTCTCATGCTCACACAGGGGCCCATAGACTTGCATAGAGACCCATAGACTCTCATGCTCACACAGGGGCCATAGACTCGCGTCGAGACCCATAGACTCTCATGCTCACACAGGGGCCATAGACTCGCGTAGAGACCCATAGACTCGCGTAGAGACCCATAGACTGTCATGCTCACACATGGCCCATAGACTCGCGTAGAGACCCATAGACTCTCATGCTCACACAGGGGCCCATAGACTCGCATAGAGACCCATAGACTCTCATGCTCACACAGGGGCCCATAGACTCGCATAGAGACCCATAGACTCTCATGCTCACACAGGGGCCCATAGACTCGCGTCGAGACCCATAGACTCTCATGCTCACACAGGGGCCCATAGACTCGCGTCGAGACCCATAGACTCTCATGCTCACACAGGGGCCATAGACTCGCATAGAGACCCATATACTCTCATGCTCACACAGGGGCCCATAGACTCGCAATCGAGACCCATAGACTCTCATGCTCACACAGTGGCCCATAGACTCGCATAGAGACCCATAGACTCTCATGCTCACACAGGGGCCCATAGACTCACATAGAGACCCATAGACTCTCATGCTCACACAGGGGCCATAGACTCGCATAGAGACCCATATACTCTCATGCTCACACAGGGGCCCATAGACTCGCAATCGAGACCCATAGACTCTCATGCTCACACAGTGGCCCATAGACTCGCGTCGAGACCCATAGACTCTCATGCTCACACAGGGGCCCATAGACTCGCATCGAGACCCATAGACTCTCATGCTCACACATGGCCCATAGACTCGCATAGAGACCCATAGACTCTCATGCTCACACAGGGGCCCATAGACTCGCATAGAGACCCATAGACTCTCATGCTCACACAGGGGCCCATAGACTCGCATAGCGACCCATAGACTCTCATGCTCACACAGGGGCCCATAGACTCGCATAGCGACCCATACTCTCATGCTCACACAGGGGCCCATAGACTCGCATAGAGACCCATAGACTCTCATGCTCACACAGGGGCCCATAGACTCGCGTCGAGACCCATAGACTCTCATGCTCACACATGGCCCATAGACTCGCGTAGAGACAGATGCCCGACTGTCTTCCCGTCTATCGGAAGAATGCTCCCCGCCGTTTCTGTGCTCCGTGTGGAGGCGCGGTGCCGCTGGACGCCTGTGCGCCGGTCCACGCGTCCGCACCGCGTGTACAGACACGGGTTAAGGACCCTTGCTTTGGGGTTTTTTGGGAGCGCGCTTCGCTGATTAATAAGCCATCTGTCGCCCAAACACACGGTGCTCGCGCACGCGCGGCGCGTACAGGGTTTTTAATCAAGAGCAGGCAGCAGGGGCTCCCGGGGGGGAGGGGGTGTAAACAGGGGGGGAGAGGAGGTGGGGGAGGGGAGGGGTGTCAGCCCAGCGGGAAGTGATGGGAGGAGGAGGGTGCCTGCGAAGGTTTAAAGGGGGGGTCACAGCGAGGCAGGGTTGTTGTGCTGGGTGATGGTGGTCGGTGGTGGTGGTGTTAGTAATCGGGAGAGCGGTTGCGTAGTGGTTAGCGCACTGCGCTACGAACCCAGCGACCCAAGTTCAGTTTCCGTTCACAACCAATCACGGTGGTGAATATTCAAACCGGTCCTGGTCCTCCCCTAGGTCGATTCAACCTTTAATCAGTACCTGGCACAGTGTGAAAACATCAGCCACTGGGAAGAGAAAAGCGGCCGGTAGTGCCGACTACCCACCCCCTCGTGTGCCATGCTGGCCTTCGTAGGTGCTCGCTTACAGCAGTTGCCCCAACAGTCTAATATTAGTTGGTCTGGGCAGTGAGTAGTATCGTTAGTGACGGTGGTATTGGTGTGTTTGATGATGTTGGCATTGTGACTGCTGTGGTGGTGGCAATGTTGGTGGGTGGTCGTGGTAATAGTGGTGGTGTTTGTGGTAGTGGTTGTGTACGAGGGCGATTTTGGTGAAATTGGAAAGTGGCTGTGTTTGGGATGATGATAGTGGGAGCGGTAGTATAGCGGTTAGCGCTCTGCTACGAACCCAGCTTCCTAATTTAGATTCTCACGGCCAACACCAGTGACGAATATCTGAACCGTTTCTGGGCGACTCAGCCTCAAATGAGTACCTGGCGCAGTGTGTAAACATCGCCACTGGGGAGACAAAGGCGGCCGGGCGTGTTATTGGCCACCCACCCCCTTGTGTGCCGTGCCAGCCTTCATTGGTGCTCGCTAACAGCACCTGCCCCAAAAGCATCTTCTGGTTATATGGAGGATCTTTGTCTGGTGGTAGTGGTTCTGGTGATGATAGTCGTGGCGGTAGTGTGGTGTGGGCAGTTGGAGTGGGGTTGGCGATGGGAGTAATGGCGATGGTGGTGTTGTCAGCAGTCATGGTGCTTTGGCAGTGGGTAGCAGTGACCGTGTTGGCGGCGTTAATGTTAGTAGTGGCGGTGGAGATGGTGATGGTCCGGTGAGTGGTGCTGGCCATGCCGGTGGTGCATTGTCGCGGTGGTGGTGGTTAGGTTATCACGGTGGCTGTTCGTTAAACGTGGTAGTAACGGTGGGGTTGGTTAAGTTATCGTGGTGATGGTGGTGGCAGAAGCGTAGCCAGCAAACCGTGTTTGAGCACTTGGCAGCCGCACAAGCAGCGCGCGGGGCGATCGGAGCGCTCGCAGTGGTGGTGGTGTTGGTGGTGTTGGTGGTGTTGGTGGTGTTGGTGGTGTTGGTGGTGTTGGTGGTGTTGGTGGTGTTGGTGGTGTTGGTGGTGTTGGTGGTGTTGGTGGTGCGCACGGCGGTTGAGAAACGAATTAATTAACCCGGCGAAGCTGTTCGCTTGCCACGTGCGCGCATATGCGCGCGCGTAAATTGTGTTTTGTCATGTGCGCGTGTGAGTGGGACCCACACTGTTATTTATTAAACGTTGTTATTAAATATTTAAATTAGCCGCCGTTTAGCGGTGTTTTCTCAAACGCAGCGCCGTGTTGTGCCGCTCGGCGTTGCTCCCCGGCACTGTGGTTTTGGCGCCCTGCGTTCCTGTGCCTTTGTAACTCCGCGCTCAGAGCGCCAATAAAAATTTTCTCTGTGGTTCAGTTTTATTTTTTGTGGAACGGTAACAATTGTCACCGGGAATCGTTTCACCATACTTCCCCCATGCTGGTCACGGGGGTTCTTAAAAACATTGCTGCCAGAGAGACAAAGGTGGCTGGGCACGGTGTTTGCCACAAACCAACCCCGCCCCACCACCCCGTGCACTGCGGCGGCCTAAATATGTGCTCGCAGACAGAGGTCGCCCCAACAGGCCGATGATTTAAACACGTGGAGACACCGTTACACAACCTCGGACGATCCTTCCGTGATAAACGACGCATCGCTACCTTGTGTACACTCTCTTGCCTTTTTTTAGTTATATAGTTTAGTGCAGGTGGTCATGCCAGTAACATGTGGCAACCCTAGCTTGGTTCAGCCGATGAGACCTGATGAGGGCAAAGCCAATTTTGAAATTACCTCCTTAAACTAATGCTGCTGCTTAATGCTGTATGCGTGTATGTACAACGTCTTTTCACACTGTACGTAGCTAACCGTGCTAATAGGAGGTGCGGGGGAAGGACAACAACACTACACACAAAACACAAAAAATATCGGTGTGGAAAGCCAGTTTGGCCGATGATTGAAAAACTTTATTATATGTAACAGGGCAGAACGGGGTTCTGTTTGCATGTGATATTGCCTTGCCCCAAAAGTCTATTCAAGGTTACGCGGGGGATTGTTGTGTTTATGCGTGTGTGTGTGTGTGCTTCTGCAGCCGGTGACGTACTTCCTGGTGAAGTGGTGTTCCCTGCCGTACGAGGAGAGCACCTGGGAGCTTCGGGAGGACGTCGACGCCACCAAAATCACTGAGTTCGAGCAACTACGCACCTGCAAACTGGACACCACCAGAATGGTATGCTCCAGAGTGGGGGTGGTGTGTGTGTGTGTGACCACCAGAATGGTACGCTCCAGAGTGGGGGTGGTGTGTGTGTGTGTGACCACCAGAATGGTACGCTCCAGAGTGGGGGTGGTGTGTGTGTGTGACAACCAGAATGGTACGCTCCAGAGTGGGGGTGGTGTGTGTGTGTGTGACCACCAGAATGGTACGCTCCAGAGTGGGGGTGGTGTGTGTGTGACCAACAGAATGGTATGCTCCAGAGTGGGGGTGGTGTGTGTGTGTGTGACCACCAGAGTGGTACGCTCCAGAGTGGGGGTGGTGTGTGTGTGTGACCGCCAGAGTGGGGGTGGTGTGTGTGTGACCGCCAGAATGTTTTTTATGAGACCCCACTAGAGTTGTCCGATCTGGAGTGACCCTGCAAACTTCCACTCCTGTTGTGCTGAAACTGCACTACCACCCAAGTGGTACTGTGAGCTCGCAGAGTGCCCATGCTTACGTTCTCTTCTTTCGTATGGTGTGGAGTTGATGGGCAGCGTTTATCCGTGCGCGTGTTTCTATGTTCGCGCCAAGGTTGGCGAGTGAGCCAGTAGATGACTTGAGGAGTAAAAGCGTTGAGGAGATCTCTGCTCACTACCAGAATGTCATGGCTGCCCCCCCCCCCCCCCCCCCCGTATTGGCACTACTTGCACTGGGCACAGTTGTGGTACAACACTCCGCGTGCCCCCTCTCTGCTCGCGCAGAGAGATGAGAGAGAGAGAGGAGTTCACCTCGAGTTATCACTTTGGGGGGGGGACTAGCAGACTGGCTATGTGTGCCAGCCCCGATGGCAGCGCTAACCGGATTGGCGATCACCCGGCGCCAGCCGTCAAAAGCGGCCCCCGCACGCGGCTGTGACGGCGGTGGAGCTGCCGCCGGCCCGCGCGAGGACCGCCGGTCGCGTGGGAGGCGCGTGAAAGTAACGTCGAGCGCTAATTGACGTCGTCGGGACTCCACGTGCGAAAGGAAGTCTGGCAGACGTGGAAATTGGGGGACCTCCGTAGGGAGGCGGTGTTGGGGTGAGGATGGTGGTGAGGCTGGCGGTGAGGATGGTGGTGAGGATGGTGGTGAGGCTGGCGGTGAGGATGGTGGTGCGGATGGTGGTGAGGATGGTGGTGAGGCTGGCGGTGAGGATGGTGGTGAGGATGGTGGTGAGGCTGGCGGTGAGGCTGGCGGTGAGGATGGCGGTGAGGATGGCGGTGAGGATGGTGGTGAGGATGGTGGTGAGGATGGTGGTGAGGCTGGCGGTGAGGATGGCGGTGAGGATGGTGGTGCGGATGGCGGTGAGGATGGCGGTGAGGCTGGCGGTGAGGATGGCGGTGAGGATGGCGGTGAGGATGGCGGTGAGGCTGGCGGTGAGGATGGCGGTGAGGATGGCGGTGAGGATGGCGGTGAGGATGGCGGTGAGGATGGCGGTGAGGATGGCGGTGAGGATGGCGGTGAGGATGGCGGTGAGGATGGCGGTGAGGCTGGCGGTGAGGATGGCGGTGAGGATGGCGGTGAGGATGGCGGTGAGGATGGCGGTGAGGATGGCGGTGAGGATGGCGGTGAGGCTGGCGGTGAGGATGGCGGTGAGGATGGCGGTGAGGATGGCGGTGAGGATGGCGGTGAGGATGGCGGTGAGGATGGCGGTGAGGATGGCGGTGAGGATGGCGGTGAGGATGGCGGTGAGGATGGCGGTGAGGATGGCGGTGAGGATGGCGGTGAGGCTGGCGGTGAGGCTGGCGGTGAGGCTGGCGGTGAGGCTGGCGGTGAGGCTGGCGGTGAGGCTGGCGGTGAGGCTGGCGGTGAGGAGGGGCGTTGGTGGGGGTGGTGAGTGAGTGGAGGTGTGTGGCAGGGTGGCGCGCATTGTTCTCACTTTGCGGTGTTTGATTTTTGTCGGATCCGTGGCCTGTGATTTGAACTACCAAGCACTCACCTATGTTTGTTTTTGCCCACGCCTGCACGTGTTTGTGTGTGTGTGCGCGGGTGCATGTGTGCATTTCCATTGCGTCCGTCTGTGCGCAAATGCCTTCATTTATTCATTCATGGGCGTGCGTGAGCGTGTGTGTACGCATACATTGTGCGTGCGGTTGTGTGTGCTTGTGTGCACATGAATGCATTTGAGTGTGTATGCGCATGCTTACGAGCATTTGTGCGTGTCTGCACTGGGGAGACAGTTGGGTCGAGCATGCTACTGGCATCGTCACCTTCTCGTTTACCGTTCCAACCTTAATAGGTGCTCGCTAACCACATTACCCTATGTTTAATGAGGCTATATGGGGATCTTTGTTTCTTTGTACTTTTGTGTTTGCGTGTGTGCATTACCTGAACACTTGTATTTGAGAATGTGTGTTTGTGATGTACGTGGGGAGAGGTGGCGCATCGGTTAGCGTGCTGCGCACTGAACCCAGCGATCCGAGTTCGAATCCCGTTCAAGGCCAACACCAGTGACGATGATATGAACTGGTCCTGGGCCTCCCCTAGGTCGACTCGACCTCAAATGAGGACTTGGTGCAGTGTGTAAACATCGCCACTCGGGAGAAAAATGTGGCCGGGTGTGGTGCTGGCCCCCCCACCCCCTTCCAGTGCCATGCCAGCCTTCACCAGTGCTACTCGCTATAACAGCACTTTCCTCAACAGTCTGAGGTCATCCGGGGGGGGGGATCTTTGTCGTTGTGATCTGTGCCGCACATACTTGTATCTACCGGCAGTCCCCGAGACACGCACGTCCCACTTACAAACATCCGCCCTTACGAACGGACCGCCATAAGGTGTGACTATTTTTGACCGTCCGACTTGCGGACGTTCGCTCGCACTCGCGAACCGAACCGCGGAACGATTTTGCTCGGCGGAGCTATCCTCCTCCACGGGATGTAATGAGTCCCCCCCATGCCCTTTCCGACGAGCAAGCCAGCGTCAGGACTCGAGGTGATAAACCTGATTTTTTTCACGTCACTTTATTATGTTTTTTTATTATGCAGTATTTATTTATTATGCAGTCTTATTTATGAGTTTATCAACGCTTCCCTTTCTTGACAGTTGAGTTTTTATTTTTTTTGAAGGACCCTGTGAGGTAAGAAGCTCTTAAGTTCTGGTTTCATCAACAAAAAACACACTCCGTCTCCGTGACAGACATGACGCATCGGAGAAAAAAAAAATTACATAAACTAATACATAAAAAAAGTAAAAAATCGTATAAATCATAAAACGAACCGTAACGCATTTTATAACACTGCCCCGTGTAAGCGCAATCAAACATTGAGTTCTGAGAGATTCTAACTGACTTACGATCACCTCTTGGGAATGTCACCTTGTTCGTAAGGCGAGGACTGCCGGTATACCACCTGTTGTGAGCGGGTGGGGGGGGGTTCGCACTGCTAGATCCGCTCAGCCCTCAATGCGTTCTCGTGCCCCCCCCCCCACGCCCACCGCCGTGCAGGAGCGGCCGCCGGCCAACGAGTGGGTGAAGCTGGAGCGCTCGCGCGACTACAAGAACGGCAACCAGCTGCGCGAGTACCAGCTGGAGGGCCTCAACTGGCTGCTCTTCAACTGGTACCAAAAGTGAGTGTCCCCCCCTCCTCCTCTCTCCTCCCCACGGGATGGCGGGGACGCCACGAGCTGTTGCTGCTCGCGTCATTAACACCGTGGACGTCCGTCTGTCTGTCTCCGTCTGTCTGTCCGTCTGTTTTTCCGTCATTCTTCCATGTGTGTTTTTCCGTTTGTTCGTTTCATCTGTCTGACTGTCCATCCGTCTGGCCCCCATCTTTGCGTCGGTTTGTCGGTCTGCCTGGCTTAATTTCCAAGCGTCTTTCCCTTCGTCCGTCTGTCCCTTCGTCTGTCTGTGTGTCTGTACATCGTTTCATCTGTCTGTCTCTGCATATGTCCAATTTATCCATCTATCCGTCCATCCGTTCATACGTCTCGTGTTCCCCGCAGGCAAAACTGCATCCTGGCGGACGAGATGGGGCTGGGAAAGACGATCCAGTCGATCACCTTCCTGCAGGAGATGGTGTACGTGGGCATCCGTCGGCCGTTCCTCATCATCGCGCCGCTCTCCACCATCGCTAACTGGGAGCGGGAGTTCCGCACGTGGACCGACCTGAACGCCATCGTGTACCACGGCAGCCTGGCGAGTCGCCAAATCATCCAGCAGTACGAGATGCACCACCGCGACGAGCAGGTGAGTCCCCCGCCGCGCTCGCTTGGCCGTCACTCCCAGTGTTCGTCGCGCGTCCCCCCGACCCGAGATGGTGCGATCAGGATGACGTAGAGGCGCAGTGCTGTCATTTGTTTTTGCTCGCACCACTGCTGGTGGAAGGGCCTACGCTCGAGGAAGCTATTTCTTCTTTTTAACTTGACTTACTACACAAAACGTGAGCCCGATAGAGCGCAGCTCGCGTCACCGGGTATCGCGATTGCAATTCACGGCAGATGGTCACGACGCAACTGGACTTGCGCTAGAGGGAGCTCATTGAGGGTGCGCTCTAGAGCCCAACAACGAGAGCATTTCCCGCCGCCTGGGCTTTGTACCCACGCGTCACCCAAGATGCGTCGTCGAAAACTCGACAAGAAAGATGGCGTCACGAAGTGGGTTGGGGTTGGTCGGAGCTCGTGGTGCCGGCAAAGGGTTGATTTAATTCAAGTCAAAATTATTTTGTACATTCAAATTGATAATTAAGTTCACGATACACGGGATGTCATTGGTTCTCGTGACTCCTTCAGCCGATAGTGGTCACTACATTAGCCGCAATGTGTTTAAACAAAATAAAAATAAAACTCCAGCGATTCGTAAACGGAATCGTGACGTGGAATCTCGGGAGTTGATCGAATCACCGGGGTCCGGGGTGGGCGAAGCGGGGGGGGGGGGGGGGAGCACCACGGGTGAATCGTTCCACCCGGGGATTCATTCCTCACCGATTATACTTTGCTGGTAGACTGGACTATGTTTGTACGTTGAACTTCTTTTGCACCGTCCGTCACCAACCGTGCCAATCGGAGGTGCTAATAGTATCCATAGTAACAGCGAGAGGTTTAACACGTAGGCTAAATGTTGTGGCTTTGCTCTCCAACACACTGGTTAGTGCTGTACTAGTGACGAATTGGCCACGTTCTGTTTACGTGACAACCCTTACTAGTTGGCTGTGTCGGGTGGTGGCGAGTTTTAACGACACATTTATATATTTACGCGACCTAACTCAAAACACCTGTAATTATGAGCGAGAGGTTTACTGGATGTGGTTGCTGTGACCCCCCGTCGGACCGGGCTTTGCACAAATCGCTGGCGCGCTCGCGGCACCTTAACCAGCCCGTGCGTTCCGTGGGCAGGGCCGCGCGATCCCCTGCGCATACAAGTTCGACGCCATCATCACGACCTTCGAGATGATCCTCACCGACTGCCCCGAGCTGCGCGACATCGGCTGGCGCTGCGTCATCATCGACGAGGCGCACCGCCTCAAGAACCGCAACTGCAAGCTCCTCGAGGGGCTCAAGCAGCTCAACCTGGTGGGTGGCCATCCTCCAGGGCCCACCACCACCACCACCCCTGTCCCTCACAGGGATCACCACCCCTGTCCCTCCGAGGCCCTCTCTCCGTCTCACTCGTCGTACCTCTCCGCTATACCACCGAGCCACGCCAGGGCCAGCCCGGCACGGCTCGGGAGGCTTACGGTTTATATTTGCACTGCCGCTGGTGCCGAGACGCCGTGGTGACGCCGTGGTGACGTCCTCGCGTTGTCCTACCCACTGAGGTCTCGCAAGATCAACGCGTCACCCCCCCCCGCCCCTTGGCCCTGCTTGGCCCCGAGCCAGGTTCCGGTGTCACGTGAGGCCAGCGGGATCGCCATTTTCTTCCGGTTCGGCAAGAGCCAGTTGAAAACCACCCGCCGTGATGGCAACCGCACCGGCTCCTCTCTGGGCGCGAGATATTTCCTTTTCTCACGGAGACATTCCATGTGTTGCGTGGTCTTTCCGGTTTATCGGTGACCTTTTTGTAGATTCAACACCGACCAAAAGTCGGCACAACACTCTCAGCGTTTTTGGTTGGCGTATCTCGTGCATGTGCTGTGTACGTATGTTGAACGTCTTTCACACCGCACGTGGCCGAGCGTGCTAATCGGAAGTACCGGGAAAGTTCTCTGGCGTCTCGTCTAACGTCCCGGTCAAACCTTCCTTGCGCGCGCACGAATCCAGGAGCACAAGGTGCTTCTGACGGGGACGCCGCTGCAGAACACCGTGGAGGAGCTCTTCAGCCTGCTCAACTTCCTGGAGCCGGCGCGCTTCCCGTCGGAGCCGGCGTTCCTCGAGGAGTACGGCGACCTCAAGACGGAGGAGCAGGCAAGCGCCGTCGCCCCCCCCTCCCCCTCCTCACTCAGCAACCGGCGAGTCGTTAGGCACGACGTCCCGACGTTTTGCTCCGCTCCCCCCCTCAGCGTGTGAAGCGAAATGTCTCCTACGTCTAAACCAGGCCACTCCAAACTCCTAACCCGACCCAATTCGCCATTCAGCTACTCGTACGTGTCCTCCCATTTAACCCTTACCATTACTCATAACCAACGCGTATGAGTGGCTGGTGGGGTGCTGCGGTGGCGACGTTAGCTCTGTCGCCTGGTATGAAGGAGGTCGTGGGTTCGATCCCAACCCTGACGCATGCTGCTGTATATTTGGAGTTTCAGGTGTCTCTCTCTCTCCCCGTGGTCACGTGGATTTTTCTCTGGGTCGTCTGGGTTTGCCCCTCCACATTTAGAATCAACATCACACGTTTAGAGTGTTTGTCTGCTATAAATTTCCACGTGATAAACCACTTCGTTGAGCTATCATTTGTGGCCAAGTCACTTCTGAAAAAGGGCTGTAAAGTTGAGTGGGCCTTACCTGGTGAAATAAAAATAAAATATTTGTTAAGGTCAGAGGTTTCATGAGAACCAATGGCTGGTCCCACCCTTGATCATAACGTGACCCCTAAACGTAACCTACCAGTCACTGGTACTCGAGCTCTCCCCTCGCTGAACATCATCCGACCTCGTTTAACCCCACCTCCGACGCTTCTCCCTCCGTGACCGCTTCTTTGTCACAAAACCGTCCGCGATTCAGTTCCCGTGCCGGCGTCGCCGTCGGCGTCGCCACGGCGACTCCGACTCTCCTTCCCCCGCCGGGGCGCGTCGCCGAGTTGACGCAGACCCCCCCCCACCCGCGCCCCCCCCCTCCCCTCTCGCCGGCCCCACAGGTGCAGAAGCTGCAGGCCATCCTGAAGCCCATGATGCTGCGGCGTCTCAAGGAGGACGTGGAGAAGAATCTGGCGCCCAAGGAGGAGACGATCGTCGAGGTGGAGCTCACCAACATCCAGAAGAAGTATTACCGCGCCATCCTGGAGCGCAACTTCTCCTTCCTGGCCAAGGGCGCGTCGGGCGGCCAGGCCAACCTGCCCAACCTCATGAACACCATGATGGAGCTGCGCAAGTGCTGCAACCACCCGTACCTCATCAACGGTACGACGCTGGCAGGCTGACGGTCGTCGCACCTCGGGGTGGGGGGGGTGGGGGTGATGGAGGGAGTGGGGGTGGTGGTGGGGGGGGTGGATGGGGGGCTGGTGGCGGGCGTGGGACGCTGACGCGGTGTTGACGGTCAGCGGCACGTAAATGCGTGCGTCACAGTCGGTCCATCGGCAAGGCCGCGCGTGGTGGTGGGGTGAAGTGTGGGTACGCCAGAATCTGAGAACACGTCTGGTCAGTGTGGAAGAGTAGTTTTCTGTCCTTCCACCGTTTAGTTTTTTGTCCTTCCCCCGCACCTCCGATTAGCGTGGTCGGCTACGTACGGTGCGAAAGAAGTTCAACATGCAGACACATACGAGAGTAGAGCAAATACCCCCTCTACAGTTTCCTGTTGTGGAGGCCCTTTTCACCAGCAGTGGCGTGAGCAAGCAGTTGCAGGGCTGCACTTTTGGTTCTTATTGCCTGTGGTGGAGACCAGAACCCCCGGTTGCAGCTCACTGCACTGGGATAGAATTTGGAGTAAAGCAGTCGGGGTGGTTGATAAGCCAGCGCTCGCCAATTAACTCAAATCTCTCGCTCACTTGACCGGCAATTGGCTGCCTCCGTATCGCTCTTCTATCGCTACTGCCTTGGTAACCGTTGCCGTGACGTTCACTGGTTGCTGTCTGCACTCGGTCTACCAGCCCGCCGACTGTCATCGTCTCATCCGCCACACTGCAGGTCACAGCAACACCCCCACTCGCACCCACTCACTCATTCAACCCCTCGCCCACTCATTCACTCGCCCGCTCAACACACTCCCGGACATCGGATTCCTCCTGTACAAAGAAATATTCCAATTCTGATAATCTGATTCATTCCCTCGGACTGCTCTCCGCTTCGGAGTATCCCAACGCCCTCACTGTGGTAACCCTTTGCTCAATTCGAGGAAATCGTTCGCTCTTTATCCATCACGCCTTGAAATTATTGCTGTTTGTCACCGGCCACTTGGCGTTTCTGGTACCCAGAGGCCTGAGTACGGCAACTGTGATTTTAAATCATTAAAGGTACGATCCGCGGCTGTGTGTGGTGTCCCCTCCCCGTTGCAGGTGGTACAGCCTGAATCTGTTCCACCACCTTTCGATCCGTCAGATGTGCGTTAATTGGCTGTCGGGGGTAACGATTGGTGCTGCGTAACGGGAGAATTGGTTAACTCTTTGCAGCTCGTCTGCCCCACCGTGGGTTCTAAACAGAAATCAACATTGTGGGTTTGTGAGTGTTTGCGGCATCATGAAGAGCGCCGTGTAACTGGTGGGGCAGCGGCGCAATCGTTCCCCTACCGCGCACCGCGCTGCGACACCAGGTGGCCCGAGTTCGATTCCTGGCCATGGCTCATGTCAGTGGAGAAGGACATCCGAACTGAACAAGCTGACCACCCCACCCCCCACTTCACCAACCCGTACTGACCAGCTGATGAAGTATGGTCAAATGGCCACCGTGACTTACACACACACTCTGTGGTGTGAGGTAGTCATCTGGCAGTGAATGTGACAAGGGGCTATCTTCTATCTATATATATAAAAGGGAAATTTGTGATTATGGTTATCTGTTTAAAATGTTTAGCGTACTTCCTGGCATGCAACAAACTTGAAATTTGCCATGTGGGTACTTTACAGACTGGACACCATGCAAAACTTATAAACATACACTTCTTTTTGGGGTGGGCGCAATAATATATTTTTTGCACGACAAGTGAGCTGTGACGTCACATCTGTCATGTCATTCCCGCAAATGCGGAAGCGTCACGCATTGTAGTGTAGTGGTTAGCACGCTGCGCTATGAACCGAACCCGGCGACCCGAGTTCGATTCCTGCTCATGGCCACCACCAGTGACGATTATTTGAACCGGTCCTGGGCCTCCCGTAGGTTGACTCAGCCTCAAACGAGTAACTGGTGTGGTGTGTGAACATCGCCATTGGGTAGACAAAGGCGGTCATGGTGAATCCAAGTCCAGGGCGAAGCCGGGTAGTAAAGCTTAGTATGCTCATAAATGAATAAATAAGACGTTATAAAAAAATATTTTTATGTTACCAGGTAAGGCCCACTGAGCTATATAGATATTTTTAAGAAGCAACCTGGCCACAAAATGAAAGCTCAATAAAGTGGCTTATCGTGTGGACATTTATAGCAGCCAAATAATAGAAATACTCAACGCATGTTTCTAAAAGTGGAGTTAAAAACCAGAGGACCCCGAGTAAAATCCACACGACGACGGGGAGAAGGACACGCAAACTCTAAATATACAGCAGCAGGCGTCAGGGTTGGGATCGAATCCACGACCTCCTGTATACCAGGCGAGGTAGTTAACATCTCGCCACGTTGCAATCGCTCACTTCTTAGCATTGTGTAATGATTCGCCTTTCCCGGCGGTTAATGGTGGCGAGTGTTAGCGTCTCTAGTTGCTGCGGGTGTCACCCGAAGACACCTTTTCGTACGGCACAGACGAACCGAAAAAAACAGATTCCTCGCGCGGCGATTCCGACACCACGGACCACTCCCTCCCCCTCAGCCACGACTCGTCGTGACCTTGTGACCCTGTGACCTTGTGACCCCGTGACCTTGCACGCAGGTGCGGAGGAGAAGATTCTGGAGGATTTCCGCGAGTCGCACGGGGTGGACGCCATGGACTTCCACCTGCAGGCCATGATCCAGGCGGCCGGCAAGCTGGTGCTGATCGACAAACTCCTGCCCAAACTCAAGGCCGGCGGGCACAAGGTGCTCGTCTTCTCGCAGATGGTGCGCTGCCTCGACATCCTCGAAGACTACCTCATCAATCGCCGGTGAGGCTGCTGGCCCGCGTGATGGCGCACGTGATGGCCCGTCCGCTCGCCCGCCCTGCGATTAGCACGGTTGGCTATGTACGGTGCGAAGTTCAACGTACATACGTACCCTCTAGCCCGCCCGCTAGCCCAGTCACGCTTGTAAGTGTGCTGTTGGCGAGCGCCTGTGAAGGCCGGCACGGGCATGCAAGAGAACGGCAACTGCTCCAACAGTCTGTAAAGGGTATACGGCTGATCTTTGTCTTGGTGCTTGTGCACAAAACATCAATGGGAGGAGGGTGGGGTGGGGGCTAACGTTGCGGCGATCGTCCCACGGCGGTCCGCTCCGCTCCGCTCAAACTTCAGGCTGGATCCCTGCTCGTTCCCTGCAACGGCCCCTTGAGACGCGGTCGCACCGAGGACGCCGTTTAACACCCACATCCTATTGCCGTGTCGGAGCTGTGTCTGCGTTGGTGCCGACAAACGCGGCCGCCGCACAGCGCACTAGCCGCTTCCGTGCCAACTCCGCTCGCCGCCGTGCCAGATGGCACGCGCCTCTTTTAGCGAGCGGCGGCCAGGCTACCGATTACGCTCAGTTGGAGCGTTAGTTGGCAGGCGTAATGGTCGGGGGGGAGGGGGAGGACGGGGAGGAGGGGGTTGGGGGGTGCGGCTGTGTGCTGGGTGCTTGGACTTTTGTAACCACGTGAGCGATGTCTTTCAAACGGTGGTCTCGTTCCGCAAGCAGCTGCTCCGGTCTCGAGGATTTTGGGTAAAGCGGTGGGGGGTGGGTGTGTGGGGTGATGGGGGGGCTGGGTGGGGGGGGATGAGGGGGAGTGGGGGTCTGGGAACCGTGGTGGCAGCAGTGGAGGCGGGTGGCGCGGCGGATTGTGGGCACGCGACGGGCCGGGCGTGATGGCTGCGGGACATCTGCCGCGGCGCCGCGCCGGTCGCCCCGGCTTGTCCGTCCGTGTGTGCGTGCGTGTACCCTGGAGGCCCCGGGCAGCCACGTGCCGTCACGCCCCCACCACCCACCGCCCTCCCCCGGTGGCCCCCAGGAACCCGCACACCCCTTCGCCACCCCCACCCCCCCTCTCTTCGCGAGCGACTTTCACTTTCTCGTCGGAACGCGAAAGACGTGATGGTTTTTCAAACCGATCTTGAAAGTTGGCGTCTTCTCCGGCGTCCGGGGCCTCACCCGGCCAGAACTCTCCTCTCCCTTTCTCTCTCCCTCTCTCTTCTCTCTTCCTCGTCCCCCCCGCTCGAGTTCACCTCGACGGGCACGGCGCCCCCCGCCCGTCTTGGAAGCCGAGATAATTCATCTCTCCCTGCCCCCGGCGCCATCTCTTAGACCGTAAGGGTGATGGAGTGCGGCGGAGGCCGGTGTGGGAAGGAGGTGCGGGGCGGCCGATCGTGGCGGGGGGGGGAGGGGGGCTGGGGGGGGGTTGGGGCGGGGGGGTGCCGCCTGTCGGGATGGATCGGCCCCCACGATGCTAAATGGCTTCTGCTGGGGTTAGCACCCGCGCACAGACTGAGACAAAGATTCCCGTGTAGCCTGAAACACTGTTGGGGTAAGTGCTGTTAGCGAGCACCTGTGAAGTATCGGCACGGTACACGAGGCGGTGGGTGGCCAGTGCCATGCCCGGCCGCCTTTGTCTCCCCAGCGGCGATGTTTAGACACCGCACCAGGTACTCATTTGAGGCCGAGTCGACCTCGCGGAGGCCTAGAAGCAGTTTAGAAAATCATCACTGGTGTTGGCAATGAGTGGGAAGCGAACTCGGGTCGCCCTGTTCATCACGCAGCGCGCTGACCGCTTCGCCACAGCTCTCCTACTGCTCCCCTTCACCACGACGCCACCGCTCCCACGCGCACACACACACAGACTCGCACATAGGCGCACGTCCCACCTTCAATCCCTGCCAAGTTGGCAGCAAGCCAAGGCAGCTTGGCCATCTGCTGCGCTCACCCGCACGCACACTCGTACACACACACACTGATGCTCTTATACTCTTATACCCCCAGTGCTACCCCCCTCCCCCACTCCATTTTCTCCCTCTCCCCTGCCCGCGCCGTGCTCCTCGTGCAAGGCAATTGGCTATGGGCACTGAATGCACGTGACGGCTCATTCAGAAGCAGAGGTAGTGGAGGGAGGGGAGGGATTCAAAGGCTAGAGTAGGGTCTCATCACCGCCCCTACCACCCGCCCCTCCTCCTCTCTCCTTTCCTCTCCCCGAGTCTCAGAGGACCCTGATGTGCTTTGCTTATCTCCTGTTCCGATTTTGATCCTTTATGATCGGGGTCACCGTTATACCTGGCAACGCCGCAACCCACCCCCCTGCCCTAGCACACCCCTCCCTCCCCCTCTCCAACCCCGACTGTGCCCACTGCCAACACTGATGACCTCCTCCGTCCCTCTCTCCTGCCCCGGCCTCCCTGGGAGGAGAGGAAGGAGGAGCGGTGTGCGATGAGGGATGAGAGCGAGCGGGGAGGTGGGACCGCTGCCGCCACCGCCACCGTGATTAATGGCTCCTCTTGTCCGTCCGGCTGCGTCGTGGCACCGTCCGTGACCTGGAAGCTGAGCGGGGTCAACCGGGCCTGGCGCGGTGCATAGTACAGTGCGGCGCGTACAGTGTGCACAGGGTCACGAGTTTGGGTCGCGAGAGGCGACGGGCAGCTGCACGCACGCGCGCACACACACGCAGCACGCACACACACGCAGTATATACACACACACACGCAGTATACACACACACGCAGTATACACACACACACAGGCAGTATACACACACGCAGTATACACACACGCAGTATACACACACGCAGTATACACACACACACAGGCAGTATATACACACACACACACGCAGTATATACACACACACACGCAGTATATACACACACACACGCAGTATATACACACACACGCAGTACACACACACACACGCAGTACGTACACACACACGCAGTATACACACACGCAGTATACACACACACGCAGTACACACACACGCAGTACACACACGCAGTACGTACACACACACGCAGTACGTACACACACGCAGTATACACACACACGCAGTATACACACACACGCAGTACACACACACACACACGCAGTACACACACGCAGTACACACACACGCTCACAAACGCGCGCACACACGCACGCAGTACACACACGCTCACACAAACGCGCGCACACAAACGCGCGCACACAAACGCACACACACGCTTGCGCTCACACGTGCATGCACAGGCACGCACAGGCGTGCATGCACACACTCACAGACTCACACACTCCTGCACACACTCGTGCACGCGCACACTCACACACTCACACACTCCTACTCACACTCGTGCACGCGCACACACTCACACTCGTGCACGCGCACACACACATGCGCTCAGCGGTCCGAAACTGAAAATTGGAAAATTGCCAAGGGGGAAGACGCACACACGAGCGCTATTACGCCACGTCTATTTTTAGCCTCAGGTGGGCACTAACGTTTGCGTGCGTGTGTCACGACAGCATCGCGGAATCCCACTCCAAACAAAGCTGTCATTACTTGACCATGATCAATCCACTGCTGGATGAAGGCCCCTCTCCCCAAGGCGTCTTTCACCGTCTCGCGGCATAACGATCCATGCGGCACCTGAGAACGAGGCGATTTTATCGCTCCATCTCCGTGAAAGATGTAGTCCTTGGCACATTCCCTCTAGCTGCCACTCCGACTGCCCCATATAGATGGAATGATTACAGTGGAGTTGTGACGGCGATTCATGATGATTTATTCTTTAATCTAAATGCACTGGTCAGATGGTAATAACGTTTGGATTGAGGCTCGTTCCCCATCCACCTGACATGTTGACACACGGGGGGGGGGGGCAGCCAGAGGCTCTAGGGGTGCCACGGTGGCAAGATGTTAATTACCTCGCCTGGTATGCAGGAGGTCGTGGGTTCGATTCTGACTCCTGTATATTTGGAGTTTGCGTGTCTCTCCCCGTGGTGGTCGCGTAGATTTTTCTCCGGGCCCTGCGGTTTTCCCCTCCACATTTAGAATGAACATCACGCGTTGAGACTATTTGGACTGCTATAGCAATCCACACGACAAGCCACTTCGTTGGGCTATTATTTGTGATAGCCAAAGTCACTTCTGACAAAGGGCTACATAGCTCGGTGGGGCCTTACCTGGTGAAATAAAAAATAATCGTTTAGTTTCTCCCTGTACCAGTCCTGTCCTACTTAACCCTTACCTTCCCCTACTCATGCCCTTCCCAGACTGCCTTGCCATTCCCTGTGCTGCCCCTACCTTACCCACCTCCTGCCTTGCCCGGCTCAGCCTTGCCCCCACCTGCTCGTGTGACTGTCCCCATGTCTTAGCTCAATCCTCACCACACCCCCCCCCCCCCTCCCCGTGTCCTCCCCACCACCACCACCACCACCGCTGCGTGGGCGAGGAGGTCGATTCCCCAGCGCCGACCGCTTCCCCCCCCCCACCACCACCCGGGCTGAGCCCATGCCGGTGGCGTGCCGGTGCCCTGTGTGCCAGTCATCAGGGCTTGTCAGGGATCCGGTGAAATCGGCAGCTGCCTCGGTGGCAGCAGCGCCAGTGGTGGTGATGCTGCTGCATCTTGATCAATCGGAAGGGGCAATGGGGTGGGGCCTTGACAGCATCTGAGAGCTTTGCGGGTGGGGTAAGGGGGGGGGGAGCGGTCGATGCAGCCGAGATGCGGAGGAGCGCAAAGTGCGATTTGTATTCTTGCGCTCGCCCTCCCACGCCACTGCTGGTGCAAGGAGGAGGAGGCCTCCACTGGAGGGAGCTGCAGAGAGCCCCTCTAGAGGAAATCTTGGAGGGATCATGGCTGAGTCCCCCCCCCCCCAACCAGGGGTCACCCTCCCCCCCAACCAGGAGTTACCTCCCCCCCCCCCCCCCCCCCAACCGCTCTCTCCCGCTGGGCCACGTGGCCCGGTTACGTTTCAGCCGTCGCGCGACCGTAACAAGGAGGAGGAGGAGCCCGTCGCGAGGGCCACCACCCCCCCCCCCATGGGTCCCACGTAACGAGGAGGGCAGGCCGGCGACGGGCGCGTACAACAAATACATCATCTTAATTAAAGTTCGCGCGCGAGCTCGACGGGCCCACGTGCTACACCTGGATGGGGGGAGAAACGGACGCGGAAAAATCCAATTAGGGCGGCGCGTTTACGCACGCGGTCGTCGCTCTTACTACCCCCCCCCCGCCGAAGCCACCACGGATTTAACGACGCCGCTTTAGATGTTTACGGTGTTTTTTTCACCCTTGGCCGCGCGCTCGCCTATCATTGGGAGTCTAGATGCAACGGCGCGTCGATGGCCTGGGCGTGCGGAGCGGGTGACCCCGGGGGGTGGGGGGGGGTCAGGCGCTCCTAAGCGGGCGCTCGTTAGCCCGCCCGCTGTAAAGCACGGCGTCGCACGCCTTCCTCGCTCTAATTGCGCGCGGCGACGGCGCTCTCTCGCCGCGATGAACCTCGAACTAACACGGACTCGAGCGCAGTCGCACGGGGAAGGGGTGGGGGGGGGGCGAGGGTTTGATTCGTTGTCCAAATTATTAACGCGAGCGAATCGTGTTGTCCTTCCGATTCGCACAGCTGGGCTACGTACGGTGCAAAAGAAGTTCAACGTACATACGTGTAATGTATTAAAACGAGTGGGGATCGCGCGCAGCCATTTGTCAATCCCCTGCTGGGTGAACGGCTTCTCATGTCGGGAGTTGTTTGAGATTGATCGTACTTCACCACGCCGGTCAGTGCGGGTTGGTGAAGTTTGACGTTGGGGGAGGGGGGGTGGGAGGGTGTGCAGCGGCAGTTACAGGACTGGATAAATCCCCCGCCACAGTTGTAGCTGGGAATCATAAAATATTCATTAATTGCGTGACCTGTGTAATGGCTGCCCCTCCGAGCTGAAGGGGTCGGTGTGGGGTGATTTTTTCCCAGAGGTCACTCGTGCTTTGTCTTGACCCCCATGGGTGTGCCATACCAAGGTGAGGCTCAATGAGTTTCTACAGCTCTTTGTCAGAAGCGGCCTGGCTATCACAAATGATAGCTCAACGAAGCGGCTTATCACGTAGACATTTATAGCGACCAAATACACACTTGGGGCCGTCTCCGTAGCCAGAGATGGATCCTGAGCCCGGATTCTTCACCGCTTCTTCCTCGCCCACTCCGATGTGTGTCCTCGCGGGAGTTGACCACCACGCTCCTGTGACCTTGCTGCGGCAGGCGGTCGAGTCGTGAGCGTTGGACGTTGGACTCTGTCGCGCGTGGCAGTGGCGCCCCCTGCGGCCCACAGGCGCAACACACGCTTCACCCGGCACCGCACCGCGTCTCCCCCCCCCGCGTCTCTCCCCCGCGTCTCCCCCCCGCGTCTCCCCCCCGCGTCTCCCCCCCGCGTCTCCCCCCCGCGTCTGCCCCCCGCGTCTGCCCCCCGCGTCTCCCCCCCCGCGTCTCCCCCCCCCCGCGTCTCACCCCCCCGCGTCTCACCCCCCCCCGCGTCTCACCCCCCCCCCCGCGTCTCCCCCCCCGCATCTCCCCCCCGCAGCAGCAGCTGTGCAATTACAATGCCGATCTCGAGAAGGACTCCGTCAACATGTAAGGCAGAAGACAACAGTGTACACAGGAAGGGCCGAGAACAAAGATGAGGGAGTGAAGGGCAGAGGGAACACACCTGCGTAAGATAACCGAGCTGCAAGTCTTGTGACAGGGTCACCAGGAGGTGGGGGAGGGGGGGAGGGTTTGGTGGTGGGGTCAGCCGGTGGCGCCGAGAAAGCGTTTGACGCGCCCCACCCTCTGTCGTAACCGACGGACGCGACGGCAACTGAGTGCGCGCGTCGCCAACGCTCCGCAGGTACCCGTACGAGCGGATCGACGGGCGCGTGCGCGGGAACCTGCGGCAGGCGGCCATCGACCGCTTCTGCAAGCCGGACTCGGACCGCTTCGTCTTCCTGCTGTGCACACGCGCCGGCGGGCTCGGCATCAACCTCACGGCCGCCGACACCTGCATCATCTTCGATTCGGACTGGAACCCGCAGAACGACCTGCAGGTGAGAGGATGGTGCGCACGCGGGGTCCTAGCGTTGCAAGGGACGAAGACGAGGTTCCCCCTCCCACCTCGCCTCTGAAGCCTTTTCCCTCCCGAGACGTCTGCAAGTTGTAGGGTGGCGGGTGTCCGGTTCACCGGCTGAATGTGCGCAAACGATTTGCTGTTCATTTTTTCTTCAAAGAGCCGTTGTTTTTAAAGGCGCGACCGCACTCTACGGTATAGCTGGCACCAAACTGCCACGCTCCCTCCCGCATGGCCTTGTAGGACCTCAGTACGTCTTCCAACCTGAAGCCGTACCAATAAAGTTGTTTTAGTTTTTAGTCCAATTCCATTCCTAGGATGTTCACGTACGTCATAGGAATGGGAAAGGGTTCATAGGTTGTTGGGGCAAGTGCTGTTCGCGAGCACCTACGAAGGCCGGCACGGCACACGAGGGAGGGGGTGGGTGGCCAGCGCCATGCCCGGCAATGGTGATGTTTATACAGTGTACTCGTTTGAGGCTGAGTCGACCTAGTCTTGCACATACACGTACCCCTGAGGGATGCCTTTCAGGTTCTGTTTTTATGCCGGATTTTTTTGTTTCCAATTTGAGTATTTTCATATTTAAATGTATCACTTCTATGTTCACGCAATTTAATCGATGTCATTAAACTTAAATATCTTACATATAGTGCCATCGTTAATTATAATTATCTGTGACGTCCGTTTAGTCAAACCGATGTCATGAGGCGACTCACGTCATCGGATCCTCTGGATTGTTCTATTTCGGTCGGATAATTCCGAGTTTCTTGGATTCGGCGACCTATTTATTATTATTCCTTTACTTTCCCAGCCGTCCCATAGAGTCCTCTCGGTTTGATTTGCGATATTGACGACGGTGACACCACGAGCCTCTGTTTTTCCGACATCTTCCTCTCCTCCCATCTCCCATCACCCCCCACCCAACCCAGGCCCAGGCGCGGTGCCACCGCATCGGACAGAGCAAGGCGGTGAAGGTTTACCGGCTCATCACTCGCAACTCGTACGAGCGCGAGATGTTCGACAAGGCGAGCCTCAAGCTGGGCCTCGACAAGGCCGTGCTGCAGTCCATGAGCGGCCGGGAGAACGCCACCAACGGGGTGAGACGGCGGAGAAAATGGCACAGATGAATGAGTAGGGGGCGGGCGGGCAAGTCCGGGCGGCAAGTAATTGAGCCCGGCGATTGAACGGGAGACGCGACGCATGTGGCATCTCTAAAAAGCCTCGTCTCGCCGGATAACTGACCCTCACGGTTGTACCTCTGGTCCGGCCGCCAGGTGCAGCAGATGTCCAAGAAGGAGATCGAGGACCTGCTGAGGAAGGGCGCTTACGGGGCCATCATGGACGAGGAGGACGAGAGCTCCAAGTTCTGCGAGGAGGACATCGACCAGATCCTGCAGCGCCGCACGCACACCATCACCATCGAGACGGAGGGCAAGGGCTCCACCTTCGCTAAGGTGGGGTACGGGCGCGCGGGCACACGTGTGGCCAGTGCCTGATTGCACGATTAATGATTAAAACTATTAAACTCTAAACTACGTTTATTTTACCAGGTATGGCCCACTGAGCTATGTAGTTATTTTTCAGAAGCCACTGCGCCCCATATAAAATGATAGCCCAACGATGTGGCTTATCACGTGGAAGTTTGATCGCAGCCAAATACTCTAGATGTGTGACGTTGATTCTAAATGTGGAGGGAAAAACCGAAGGGCCCGGAGATAAATCCACGCGACGACGGGGATAAAGACATGCAAACTCCAAATATGCAGCAGGCGTCAGGGTCAGGATCAAACCCTCGACCTCCTGCGTACTCGGCAGGGGAGTTAACATCTCGCCACCGTCGCGCCCCATGTAATAATAACATGGAAAGCCATTACAAGGGCACGGAGCAAACAGCAGCACATTCAACTTTGGTCGAGGTCCGAAGAGTTTAGCTCATACCTGGTACTGTTGGCCCCAAGCCTGGTGGTGCCCGTGTCCTGTCATCGCTAGCTCGTCGCGTAGCCTTTGTCTGGGTTGTCACGAGATGAGAATAATGATGACTGATTATGATAATTATTATCGTTATGATAGTGTTGAAGATGGTCGTGGTGGCGGTGATGATGAATGATGAGTATGGTGACAATACTGATGATAATCATGAGAATACAAATTACTTTGGTGAAAGTTAAGTTTTGTGGTGGTGATGATGATTTTAACGAAGTTTGTTGCCCCTCAGAATGAGGATCCATGGAGTGATGATGTCATCAGTGTTGATGATGATCGAATGATGAAAGACAATGAGAATAATGATGAGAATAATGTTGACGACGATGACGACGATGACGTCGGTGATGCACGCCCCCGTATGTGTCCACGACGGCAGGCGAGCTTCGTGGCATCGGGGAATCGGGACGACATCTCTCTGGACGACCCCAACTTCTGGGCCAAGTGGGCAAAGAAAGCGGAAGTCGACCCGGACGCATTCAGCCGCAGGGTGAGTCCACCAGCCGCTCCCCCCCCCCACAACCCCCCCCCCCCCCCCCGCTTGTTATTGTCCGTGTGTACGTTCAGCATCTTTCGCACCGTACGTAGCCAACCGTGCCGTGTGGCCCCGTCTGTTGTCGTGTGGTGGTTGGCACGCTGCGCTATGAACCCGGCTACCCGAGTTCAATTCCCACTCACGGCCAACACCAGTGACCTACCTGAACTGGTCCTGGGCTTCCCATAGGCCACAAATGAGTACCTGGTGCAGTGTGCAAACATCAGGTGCCTGGGTGTGGTCCCGCCCTTGCCACAACTGCTTGTGCGTTGGCACCAGCATTAATTAACAGGTGATCACTGAAAGCACTTTCCCCATCTGTCTGTTTGGCTGTATAAGGAATCTTTATCTTGTTATATATGTATGTGTGTGTGTTCCGCCATTAGTTTCCCTCTCAATTGTACAGTTTTGTTCGTTCCGCGAGTGTGAATGTAACATTTGCACGTAATTTTCACATAATCATTGATCCTAACTTGCTATTCTGAGTGATGTGTGTGTCTAAGAATAGATGTACAGCCTGAGCACTTTGTAAATTCACCACTTTATGAAGGCCTCCGCCTCCCCCCCCACCCCTATCCGCACCATGTCAGTCATGGGGGTTGCTTGACCATACATTACCACACCGGCCGTTCTGGATTGTTGAAGGAGGGCGGCCATAACTTGTTCAGATATCATTCGCCGCTGGTGTTAGCCGTGGCCGGGAATCGCAACTGGGATTTATTTATTTCAGGGGCGCCACGGTGGCTTGGAGATGTTAACTGCCTCGCCTGGTATGCAGGAGGTCGTGGGTTGGATCCCGACCGTGATGCCTGCTGCTGTATAGTTGGTGTTTGCGTGTGTCTCTCCTCGTGGTCGCGTGGATTTTTTCTCCGGGTACTCCGGTTAAGCCCTGCCACATTTAGAAAAATATACGTTTAGATTGCTTAGATTATTTTGCTGCTCTAAATTTGTACATGATGAGCCAGTTTTGTTGAGCTATCATTTTGTGACCAGGTCACTTCTGAAAGATAAGCTAACAGCTCAGTGGGCTTTACCTGGTAAGTAAAAAAAAAAAATGTTACATGCTTTTGTATTGTTTGTTGTTGCAACGTTCTGACCTGGCCCTACTGGACATCTGTGAAAAAAGAGCTTTATAGCTCATCGGATTCCTCCTGCAGTATAAATAAATATTCTGATTCTGGATCCCTGAGTTAATCTCGCTCGGTGCACTAACTGCTGTGCCACCGCTCCACCTCAATTCATCATTGCACACCCGCCCTTGAATCGTGAAGCATCTTTCACACGCCGGGTGTCGTCATTTTGATTAACCCGCTAATAACTCAAAAGACCAGGATAGAGTCTGTTTGGCGAGGGCGACCTGGGCCACCGAAATGTTCGTCGCTCGTGTCGTTTGCGTCGGACTTGGAACTAATTACTTGTGTGTGTACATGTGCGTGCGAGCAGAACACGTTGGTGATCGACACACCGCGCGTGCGCAAGCAGACGCGGCACTACGACGCGGTGAAGGGCGAGGATTTGGACTTCTCGGAGGGCGACAGCGACGACGAGCGGGCGACACCACGCACGCGCCGCAGCCACGACCGCGCCGCGGGATACGCGCGCACCGAGTGCTTCCGCGTCGAGAAGAACCTCCTCATCTACGGGTACGAGCACTGGAGGGGACTGGGCCGGTGGGACGGTGGGAGACCACGAACGAGTCGGTCGGGAGAGATGCAGCGGATTGGTTTGAGGCCTCGCCGCGGTGAATGTGGTGTTCCGTCAATGCGAGCCGAGTGCTCCACGTGTGCGCCTGTACGGGGTGCGGTGGTGTATTGGTGAGCGCATTGCTCTACGAATCCAACGTTCCTGTGTCCCGTCCATGACCGTGGGTATCACCAGTGGTACGTGGAATGTGAACGGATTCTGAGCCATCCCGAAGCAACTCGGCCTTCAAAGGAGTAGTACCTGGTGCGGTTTGTGTAAAGCACCGGCACTGGGGAAACAGGTGGCGCCCAGGCATGGTGCTGGCTGCAGCACGCTCTCGTGCGCTACAACGGCCTTGATTGTGTTAATTCTCTCGCCTGGCATGCTGCAGGTGGTCATAGGTTCGTCCCACCACCCTCACGCTTGTATATTTTGACGTTTGCGTGTTCTCTCCCCGCATTTGTGGCAGCCAGGTTGCTTTTGAGAAAGAGCGAGAGAAAGCTCAGTGGGTCTTTCCCAGTGAAATAAAAAGTTGTAGTTATTTAGTTGTAAATTGGTTCTCGTGAACAGCACCTGGCCCAGCAACCTGCGTGGGCCATAATGTCGGGATGTTTGCTTGGGTGGTGTGCGTCACTCTGGATATCCTGCCTTCTGTGTGCGTACGGCCCCGACCGCTCGCCCGCTTAGCTGGGGCCGGTGGACCGACATCTTGTCGTACGGGCGCTTCAAGCGCCGGCTGGCGGAGGGCGACGTGGAGGCCATCTGCCGCTCGCTGGTAGTGTACTGCCTGCAGCACTACCGCGGCGACGAGAAGATCAAGGCCTTCATCTGGGACCTCATCACTCCCACGGCCGACGGGCAGACACGCACACTGCAGAACCATTCGGGTGAGCCGCTCGTTCGTTCTCACAGATCCGCTCGCAGCTTGTGCCCCGGTACGTCCTCTCGCCGATGCCGACGTTAGTTCCCGTAGATTTGGCCCTGTGACCGACGATTCCAGCTTCCCGTTAAAACCGACTGGGAAAGGGATCTTTGATAATCGTAAGGGAGATGCGAAGTTGTGCCTCGTTTGAGGAGGAGCACCAGAATAGAAGGACGTTGCAACCCAGACGTCCCAGTTTTGTTTTGGTTAGCGAACTCTGTGGTGTTCCTACAGATGCGAGACTCATTATTTTCCATTTGAAATACAAAAATTGCGATTGCTATTTTAGTTTTCAGTTGCGCGCACGAAAAAATGCAGCCCCACGCGGGGCCCAGCCAGGGCCTCACGCAACCTGACCTCGTGACCTCGTAACGCTCGCCTCTGACCTTCCGACAACCCCTCCCCCCGCCGTGTCGACAGGCCTGTCGGCGCCGGTGCCGCGTGGCCGCAAGGGCAAGAAGGTCAAGGCCCAGAGCGGCCTGCCTGACCTGGAGAAGGCCGACTGGCTGACCAAGAGCAACCCGGAGGTCATCCTGCAGGACGAAGGCTACAAGAAGCACCTCAAGCAACAGTGCAACAAGTGAGAGAGACGGGGAGGAGTGTGGGGGTGGGTGTTTGGGTGCGGAGGGGATGGATGTGGAGGGGAAGAGGAGGTGGGGGGAAAAACCAGAGAACTCGGGAGAAAAATCCACGCAACAGGCGTCATGGTCGAAATTGAATCCACGACTTCCTGCATACCAGGCGAGGTAGTTAACTTATCGCCACTGCGGCACTCCCGAGAGAAGGGTAAAAGAGGAGGAGAGGGTTGGGAGAAGGGTGAGCCGAACGGGGGGAGGTGGGGAGGGCTGTGTAATGATATGGAGCGGAGAGTCACCCCACCCCCACGGCATGGTGCAGTCACCACGCATCGGCGATCCGTCACCAATCTCCCCGCGCCGCTGTGGGTCGGCACCAAGCCATGATCTTAATCGGCCAGAATTTGTCCACTGCTGGATGAAGGCCCCCCCCCACTCAAATCCGTCACCATGTAAAACCTACCCTCGTGTGATTCGCTAAAAGTGTGGCGATGTAAACATACGCACGGTGGAAACGAGGCATTCTACGCACGCAGCACAAGCTTTGCAAGTCGTAAGCGTTCAGTTTATTCGGAGAGTCTGCACCATGCCGACGAGGAGTGTGATCGTCCGCCCCCCCCTCCCCCCCCCATCGCGATTCAAGACCTGGTTCTTTGGTTAATGTTGATTCTCCGCGCGTGTCGTGAGCACAGCAGTCTTATCATGATCAATAGACGCCCTGTATATTTGGGAGTCTGCATGTGTCTCTCCCCCGTAGTGTCGTGGATTTTTTTCTCCTAGTCCTCTGGTTTTCCCTCCATTTAGAGACATGCATTGAGATTATTTAGATTAATCTGCTGCTATAAATGTCCACGTGATAAGCCACTTTTGTTGAGCTATCATTTATGGCCAGGTCAATTATGGCAAATAAGTTAATACCTCGGTGGGCTCAGCCTGGTAGGATGGGGATGGTTTAGTTTCACTCGTAGGCTTTTGGGTGATTTGTTTACCTGTATTCTTCAGGTCTTTCGGTAAAGTCACGTAGATAGGTTCAAAGAAAATATCAAAAAACTAAAATTCCTACAGTCACGAAAGCTTCAAGTCAAGATTACCTGTTCTTTGCACTACCATTCTGTTATTGTACCGTTGTTGTAACGTTCTGACCCGCCCCTGCTGGACATCTGCGAAAAAAAGAGCTTTCGGATTCCTCGGATTCCTCCTGCAGTATAAATAAATATTCTGATTCTGAATTGACGCATCGTCAATTTTGGTGAACGAACCATGCCGCTTACTGACCGGAGCATCGGCAACGGCGGCTGCTGGCTGTGCCGAACCAATTGTTGCGGCTGCCCCTTGTTGAAGTGGGGGCAGCTCGCTTTCAAAGGTCGCAGCGAGAGCAACCGTCCCATTTTAAAGCGGCCCGCCCACCCCGCCCTACCCCCGTGGGCAAGGCGGCGTCCGAGTGGGACCACAAACGGAAAAGCAAGTGGTGATTGAGACAGAAATTGGGTTTCTTGGCGACTCGCGTTCGTCGATTTGGCGCCACCGTTTTGCGTTACTGCGAGCTGCACATGGGGACCGCGGAGGATTCACCGAATGGTGGCTGCGGTGATGCCCAGACTCGCGAAGATCATTGCGAACTGACTTGTCAACCGCATTACGAACAGCTGACTTGGACTTGCCAACCACATTGTTCGTCGGTGTGGCGGTGGTGGGAATGTGGGCGTTGCTGTTCAGTGTGACTGGTGGTTGGTGCTGTCGATTGTGGTGGGTGTTGTCGTCGGTGTGACGGTGTTGGCGGTTGTGGTTGGTGCTGTCGATTGTGGTTGGTGTTGTCGTCGGTGTGACGGTGGTAGCGATTGTGGTTGGTGCTGTCGGTTGTGGTTGGTGTTGTCGGTGTGATGGCGATGCCAGTTGTGGTAGGGGTGTTGCCCCTTAGCGTGGCGGTGGTTGTTGCTCGTTGGCATTGCGGTGGCGGTTGTGGTTGCGGTGTTGCTGTGCAGTGTGGTTATGGTGGCGGTTGTTGCCCGTCGTCGTGACGGCGGTTGTGGTTGTTGCCTGTCGTCGTGACGATGGTGGTGGTTGTGCTGCCCTGCTGTGTAGGGTGTTGCTGCGGGTGCGCATGCTCTACTACCTGCGGCAGGAGGTGATCGGGGACCAGGCCGAGCGAGTGCTGCAGGGGTGCGACTCCAGGTATCATGGACAGTGTACCGTGTGTGCGTGCGTGCGTGAATGGATTTAAATGCATGTGAGCACATTCTCCCTGGGGCTGGTGTACTGCACAGAATCCAAAGTATGTGACTCATACGCGGTGCGTGTTTGTGGGTGTGTTTTCCTGCGCGTGTGTGCTTGCGTTCCTGCGTGCTTGTGTGTGCATTCTTGCGTGCGTGTCCCTGCCTGCTTGTGCGTGCGCATTGTGCCCCCAGCGAGATCGACGTGTGGATCCCAGATCTCGATCAGGGCGACCGTCCGGCCAGCTGGTGGAACTCAACGGCCGACAAATCCCTGCTCATCGGGGTCTTCAAGCACGGTGCGGTCGCCCCCCCCCCCCCACCAAGCCTCCCGCCCCTGACCTTGACCCCTCCTGCGCAGTCAAACGGTCGCACCATCGCGCCGCGCGGCGCGTGCGCACGCCCCGGGACTTTTGGTACGCCGTTCAGTGGCAACGAGTTGGAGCGTATCGTTGACCACCTATGAAAACCATATTTGACGTGAGTACTGGTATCTGGTGTTTCCGCATCCGCTTGCGTGTTTGTTCATGTGTGGTGATGTGCGTGTGTGCGTGCATGGATGTGGCCGCGTGCGTGTGGCGGTGCGCAGGCTATGAGCGGTACAACTCGATGCGCGCGGACCCGACGCTCTGCTTCCTGGAGAAGGTCGGCATGCCCGACCAGCAGGCCTTCGCCGCCGAGCAACGCGGGGGTGATCTGGGCGACGGGTGAGTGGCGGCGGCGGCGGTGCTGGCGGCGGCGGCGGTGCTGGTGGCGGCGCTCTCACCGTCGTTATTGTTCGTGGTTACCGACGCTTTCCCACCGAGATAAAAAGCGTTGATGCGTTGGTTCCGTCCGTCTGATGTCGGTAGCGCTGCGGGGATGGAGCCACAATTACTCTCGTAATTACGATCCCGTATGAACGAAACTCTCGTGCGAGGTGCTGTTGCTATTTGGGACTCGGGCCACGTGATCAGAGGGTTGTGCAAAACTTGGAGAGGAAAAAAAACACTCCTTCAAGTCCCTGTTGAAGCCAAACGGGCCAGGACACCGAACCGTGGTTAATAAAATGTTAACTCTACGACTGAAAATGCTGCCCAGCGCTCAACCAAGGACTGACAGTGTTGATAATGTTCTAGTATATGAAGTTGCGTGTTTCTGTGTTGGGCTGATTTAAGTGGTCATTAATTTTGTGCTTGTGTTTGCGTGTGTACGTCACCGGTGCTCAGCGGAGAGTTTGAGCGCGACGAGGGTGAGGATCCGGAGTACAAGCCGGCGCGCGCCGCCTTCCGGGACGACATCGACATCGAGGTGAGAGGCGGCGCCATGCACCATCCACCACGGAGAGAACCACCACCACCACCACTCGCCACCACTGTTATCTAGTCCCCACAGGCACTGATAATCACCAACACGACCAACACCATCACCACAATCGCCACCACAACCACGATCATCACCACCACCGCTGCCACGACCACCACCACTTGCACCAAAGTCACTGCCGCCGGCATCACTTCCATCATAATCACCAATGTAGCCACGATCATCATCTCCACGACCACTGCCGCCGGGAAGGTGGCAACTTCACGAACAAAGGAGAGACGCAAAACAAAATCCTGTCCTTACGGTGTCACTCCAGGCCGGTCTAACTCACGCCCCCCGCCCCTCTGTGTTGCAGGACGACTTCCTGTCGTCGTCGGACCTCAAGATGACGATCTCCGACGGTACGCAGCACTGCCCACCTCGTCACATCCAATTAACAACCAATTAACCCTCTGACCAAATCACCGTCAATGCGCCCCGTGTCATCGTCGTCGGCACTTGTTAGCCAAGCAGGCTCCAGCCTGGCTTCTCCAGGAGTTCTCGGAGTGGGATTTGAGTGTTGCGTGTGATCTCCTCCTATGCACGGGTGTTCTCGGGCTGGCCAAATGTCCCTAAGGTCGCAACAGTCTTCCCGGGTCGATCATTAACTCTTTTTTTTTTCTAAATGCCACTATTGTACAAATGCTGAGCGGGTTGAGCGACCCCTAGCGAGGACAAAGGCCGCTGGCACACTCGTCAGGAGGCGTCTCTCTCCTGCCCTCTGCTGTGGCGTTACGGCACCTGCATGCAGATCGATGGTCACAGGTCAACTCCCGACATAACAAAATCTCCAAACTCTCTCAAGGGGGCGTATCACCTGTTTTTTTGTATAGCACAATATTTATACGCTTGGAAAATTGCAACAGGTGTGGAGCGGTGCCACGATGGTTATTGCGCTGTGCGCTCTGTACCCAAAGACCTAATCTCGACATCCCCACCCCCCACCCCACCTTCTCCTCTCCCCCACGCACCGCCTACAGACGCCGGCGGGGTCGGCGGCAGCTCGTGCGGCGACGGCAGCGGGCGGCCGGGCTGGCCGTCGGGCTCGGCGCTCACCACGCGCCTGCGCCGCATCGTCACGGCGTACCAGCGCTGCTACAAGCAGCAGCAGCAGCGGCTGCTGGCGGCGGCCAAGCCCGACCGCAGGCGGCGCCGCCGCAACGAGGAGCTCATCCAGGCTCGCGAGGCCGCCAAGACGGAGCGCCGGCAGAGGTGAGAGGCAGGCGCCGGCGAACTGACCGGTCCGGCCGAGAGTGACGGCGCCGGCCGCGACTTCTTGCCGCTTTCATAATTTTTTTTGCCGTTTCAATACGGATGAAGTCGTTTACACGCCTCACGTGCCTGATAATTGGTACGTGCATCCGCGAGACGTGTGCGGACGTGCGAGGAGCTGGTGGGTGCAGTGGGGTGTGAGACCCCAAGGCTGACATTTCTCACCGATTATTTTCCGGGTTACTGGCAGACTTGGAGTAGGTGGCGCCATGACTAGCGGTCACAGCCATCCGGCTGAAATTCAGCCCAGGTTAGAACGCTCGCCTCTCGGTCAAATAGGTTGTGAGTTCAAATCCCTGTCGGGGTAATTGGGCTACCATCCTTGCCGGATCAAAAGCTGAGAGCGCCGCTTCCAAGGGAAGTTTCTGGAGCGAGTGCATCAAGCGCAGTCACTCACCCCCTCCTTTCCTCCCTCGTCACGGGAACGTGGAATTTCCGGCCCAGGTGGACGCGCCGCGAGGAGACGGATTTCTACCGCGTGGTGTCAACGTTCGGCGTGGAGTACGACCCCGAGCGGCAGCAGTTCGACTGGTCGCGCTTCCGCGCCTACGCGCGGCTCGACAAGAAGACGGACGAGAGCCTCACCAAGTACCTGCTGGCCTTCCTCGCCATGTGCCGCCGCGTGTGCCGCATGCTGCCGCACGAGAGCGACCGTACGTGTAGCCAGCACGCCCCCGCCCGCACCGCAGTGGCCTTCCTACTGTCGCACCCTACCTATTGCGTCCCGTCATCGCATTACGCCGCCGCATCCTTCGCATTTGTGTCTTTCTCACCCTCCCATGTCCTTCTCACCCTCCCCATGTCCTTCTCACCCTCCCCATGTCCTTCTCACCTTCTCTGTCTCTTTCTCTCACCCTCCCCGTGTCTCTCACCTATCGCATCTCCCCCGCTCACTGTGCGCAACGACCCTTCCCGGCCTCTCCCTCTCGCGTCCACCTCCCCACCATCCCGGGCCAGGCCTCGTGGACCCGTCGCTGCTGCTGGCCCCCATCACGGAGGAGCGCGCGTCGCGCACCCTCTACCGTATCCAGCTGCTGCGCAAGGTGCGCGAGCAGGTGCTGCGCCACCCGCAGCTGGAGGAGCGCCTGCTGCTGTGCGCCCCCTCCTACGACCTCCCCGATTGGTGGGAGTGCGGGCGGCACGACCGCGAGCTGCTCATCGGCGCCGCCCGCCACGGGGTCAGCCGCACCGACTACCACATCCTGTGTGACGCCACGCTGCCCTTCCGCGAGGCGCAGCAGAGGTGAGCGCCGACGCCTGACCCCCGACCAGACCCCGTCACCGTAGCAGCAGCAGCGTGTGACTGGGCACGGTCGGCATCTAGCAAACTGTGAGAAGGGTCAAATGCTGGTGCCACGGGCCGACGGGCCCTGCGGCTGAAGATAGCTGCTCGTTCTTTCTCACGTACTTGTTTATAGACCCGTAGCCTCTCATAGAGACCCGTAGACTTGTATAGTGACCCGTAGACTCGCATGAGACCCGTAGACTCGCATAGAGACAGACTCACATTCATCAACATCAATCGATGCATCATTACGCCTCCTCTCATAAGAAACGCTCTCGCTGCTGCTGCTGCTACTGGTAGCGAGAGTGAACGCTACTCGGCGCCAAACCAATCGCGTCTCTCGCCCCAGGTACATCCAGTGCCAGACGTCCTCCTCCAGCACCAACAACGCCAACGCGCTGGCGCTGCTGCGGCACCAACACCACCACCGTGCCGCAGCCTCCCCGGTGGGGGGGGACCCCCCCGACGAAACCGCTAATGGGGCGACGGTGGCAGCGGTGGCGGTGGCTGGGCCGGACGGAGGGGCGGGGGGTCCCGACGAAGGGCCGGAGGAGGTCCCCGACGGGGCGGCGCCGGCCTCGGCCGAGGAAGAGAAGGACGGCGCCGTTGCCGCCGAGGAGCCGACGCCGGCGGAGGTGAAGTCCGAGTCGAGCGAGGAGAGAGCGGAGAGAGCGGAGAGAGCGGAGAGAGCGGAGAACGTCGGAGAGGCCGTGGTGGACGTGAAGGTAGGACGAGCGTGGCGAGCGCGATGAAGGCAACGGGAGTGATGGTGGTGGTGGTGACGGCGGTGATGATGATGATGGTGGCGATGGTGGTGATGGTGTTTTTGGGGGGGAGAGGGGCAGGATGAGCAAGGGCCGTGCTTCCCAAGTTTATTTGTGTCTTTGGGTTTTTTCAGCATTTCTCCAAAATGTTATTCCCAATGGGCTCGTGCGGCACACACTGAGAGCCCGTTCGTTTTGCGCGACGTGTGAGCTCGCAACGGGCGGCGCGTTGCGTGCGTTTTATAAGTGGTCTGAGAGAGGAGACGCCGTAGAACAGATTCTGAGATCTCTTAAAATGGCCTCTTTGTCTCTCCGCACACTGGGGGCTGCCCCCCCCTCCGCTCCCACCACCTACAGACACGTGTACTAATGTTTGTTCGCGTAGTTGTTAAAAGAACGTGTGATTGTGTGATGCCTGGGTGTCTGCCCAGTTGACTGATGATCCAAACTGAAGGGCAAGGGTTGTTTGTGCGGTGAATGTACGTATATTGAGCTGAATGTTGAGCTTCTTTCATAGACTACCATACCCACTGGAGGTGCGGGGAGAAGGACAACAAACTAAACACAGAAAACGGTTCTAAAGAAATGCTTTTTCAATGATTAAAAAGTGCACGGCTCCAGTGGCTTTCCTAATATCTGAAGGAAGAGCGTTCCAGATGGCCGCAGAAACGCTTCCGAAAGCGACGCGTGATGATGCGGTGACCGTCTTTCTTCGATGGTTAGCCAAAAGCTGCTGCGAGGACGACCACCGGTGTTTGCGTGATGGTGGTTTATGCTCCTTGACGGGCTCAGCGACGTATCGCGGTTCATTTGTGGCAAACACTTGGTGTGTGTGTAATGAGCGCGACCTTATAATGTGTTTGTTCGGCAACCGGACGCCAATGCAGCTCGGTTGGACACGGTCGGGTCTTGCGGTACCCATCACGACACGTGGCAGAATTTTTTTTTACACAAGCTGCAGCTTGGCTCGAGAGCCCCATTGTCACCGTGGTGGTTGTTGTGGCCGAAACCCAGAATCGAACGCACCTGACCCCAACCGGACACGTTGCTCCCGCTCCACCCCCTCCATGTTTTCGTTTCAGTCGGAGCCATTGGCCGTGGTGGACGCAGGCGTCGAGGAGCCGTCGGCGCCGCCGCCCGCGGATGAGGTGGAGGAGCCGAGGCCTGCCCTGAAACTCGACGGCACCGAAACGAAACCGGACTCCGGGGCCGTCGCCGCAGAGCCCGACGCGCCAACGAAGCAGGAAGCGGCGGTGAAGCCAGAAGTGCCCACGAAGCAGGAGGACGACGAGCCGGCGGTGACGAAGCAGGAGGAGGACGTGCCTGTGAAGAAGCAGGAGGAGGACGTGCCTGTGAAGAAGCAGGAGGAGGTCGAGCCGGTGAAGAAGCAGGAGGAGGAAGCGTTGGGGAAGCAGGAGGAGGAAGCGTTAGGCAAGCGGGTGGAGGAAGCTTTGGGGAAGCAGGAGGAGGAAGCGTTGGGGAAGCAGGAGGAGGAAGCGTTGGGGAAGCAGGAGGAGGAAGCGTTGGGGAAGCAGGAGGAGGAGGTGCTTGCCAAGGTGAAGCAGGAAGTGCCGGTCAAGGTGGAGGTGGTGGTGGAGGAGAGCAGGACAGCGGAGGTGAAGGAGGAGCAGGAGGAGGCGGCGCGTCGCGAGGAGGCGCGCAGGAAGAGCAGTGAGGACGGCGAGGAGGACGACGAGGAGACGGACAGCGACGACGAGGAGAAGTCCGACTTCGAGTTGAAGGCTCGCGGTGAGCGGCGCGCGCTCGCCACGGCACGAACGCCCACGCACGCCACGCACACACGGGAGGAGACCGGTGCCCTACTGCCGCCTGCTGGCCACCGTGCGTTGTAACGTGACCGTCAGACGTGATGAGCGGAGGAGAGGCATCGTGTGCAGACCCCCACTGCAGGGAAGCCAAAAGTGTTTTGGGGCTCTTGGCTGGGGTCCTCGGCAGCGATCTGTGGCACGCAGGACCCCGCTAAAGGGCACCGATTCTCTCTCGCGTCTCGTTTTCGTGTCGTCACTTTCCTTGCGTCTTTTCCTTCCCCCCCCTTCCCCCCCCCGGGTCCCCCTCTGGAGCAGGCGTGACCGGGTCGTTGCGACCCCGGGCGTTCGCCGACGAGAGCAACGCGTCGTTCGGGCGCGGGGACGACACGCTGGACGACTCGGTGCGCGAGGAGGGGGAGTTGTGCCCGCCCGGATACCCCGACCCCCACCAGCCCATCTACACCTTCTCCTACTGGCCCAAGGTGCGTGACTGGGGTCAACATTGTTCGTATGCATGTGCCTTGAACAACTTCCGCACCGTACGTAGCCGACTGTGCTTGTCGGAGGTGTTGGGAGGTCAGCAGATGTTGCCCTTCTAGGTAGTGGACTCCGCCCTGCCCACTGCTGCCCCTGCTGCTGCGAGGGCTGCAAATGGGAGATGAGCATCAATGCCATCGATATTCATTCGGGCAGCGGGAAAGCTCTTGAGACTTTCTGTGCGATTATTTAGACATTTTTTTGCACAAACTCATGACGGGTGTTGCGTTTTGGGGGTTTCCACCTTCGGGGGAGGGCAGCATTTTGCGTCATTTCACATTTTTAAAGGTGGCCCCGAGTCACCGACTCTAACTTCTCGCTTTAATCTCCCCTCAATACCCCCCCCGCCCCCACTTGACCTGGCTGTTATCATGACCCGCTATACGCACCCCGACCTTGACCTTTTAGCAACCCGTCTCTGATTTGATCTCTGCCGCCTCTCTGCCGCCTCATTGCCGTGCCCGCCGACAGGACCGCGTGATGATCAACCGCATCGACCAGATCTGCTACACGGTGCTTCGGGGCAAGTGGCCGTCGGCACGGCGACTGGTGCTGGAGGTGGTGGCCTCGACGAGCGCGGTTGCTGCGGTTCCCGCGGCAACGCCGGTGCCAGCACCAGCAGCGCCCCCGGTGGCGACCTTTACCCCCAGTGGCACGGACAGCCCGTTGGCCAACGACTCGCCGGCTCTGAGCATCTCCGAGGAGACGGGCGCTCCATCTCCGCAGCTCGCCAAGGTAGGGGGGGGCGGTGGCGGCACCGACGCTAGCACCGGGGGGCGGGGGCGGTGGGTTATGGTGACATAGACAGAGTTCGTAACGATTTTGATGATGGTGATGTTGCAGAGGGGTTGGTAATCGTCTTGCGTGGATGTTCGCAGTTGTGCCGTGCAGCTCTCCGATGTGGTGTTGGGCTGTACCACTGCGTGTCATTTGGCACGATGTCCGACGTTTAGATTTCCATGGCTCCATTTGGAAAGAAAAAAAAAACGACACCACGAAATAGAGAGGAGGGAGGGTGGTGGTGGTGGTGGTGTGGGGGGGGTGATTGTTACTCGCTTGGTAACATCGATTAATCAACGAAAGTCGATTCTTACGCTAGGAATCCGTTCGGATTCATGCAGCGCGCTCAACAGTGGCGGCGTCGTGAGACGGATCGCACTTGGGGGCGGTGCCACGCAGCCCCACCTGCCACGGGTGTTTGAATCGAGCGAATGATCCGGCAGCGCGTCGGTCAACCGCGTCGCTGCGATCTTGAATCGTTTACAGTTTGTTTTTTTGAAGCGCTCTCTGCCGCTCTACTGCCCTTTCCACCGTCGGCTGCTGCCAGCGCTCGCCGCCACTGATGCTGCTTTGAATCCTGTTCCCTCCTGTCTCGTGCTCCGCTAAAACGTTCATCCCCCCCCCCCCCGCTCATCGTTCATTAGTTTCTCTGTGCGGATTTGTACCGAATTACTGGTGGGACCGGCCAGTTGGCCGGCCACCCTCGCGGCTCGCTTGTTGTCTGGACCCGAGAGCTGATCGAGCCGATTAGTTTGCCTTTTGTAATTGCTCCATTAGAAACTCGCGTGACTTGGTGTTCTGGGCTGTGTCGCCCCCACACCCACGTGCTGCGCTCAATGGCAGCAGCCCTGCCGGAGCATTTGAATCCCACGCCAGACTAAAGAGTCTTGGAACAGTTTCAGTTCAAATGCAGTTATTAACCATGAACGATGTTTATCTTATTTTACCAGGTAAGTCCCACTGAGTTGTATATAGCTCTTCACAAGCGACCTGGCCACAAATGATAGCTCAACATAAGTGGCTTATCATGTGGGAATTTATTTCAGCCAAATACATGCTTGGTGTCGATTGTAAACATGGAAGGAAAAACTGGAGGACCTGGAGAAAAATCCACAACCACGGAGAGAGAGATATGCAAACTCCAAATATACAAGTGTCAGGGTTGGGATCGAACCCCCACAACCTCCTGTATACCAGGCGAGGTCGTTCACATCTAGCCACCGCGGCACCCAAATAATGCAAGTGTGATGTAGCTAGCGGTGTGATTTAGGGCTGGGGAAGACTTTTAAATAACTGTGGAGAGAAACGACACATTAACACGTGAACCTCCGCCACTGGCGTCACCGAAAGAGACCCGTGGGTGCCATTGCTCACGGTGTGCGGGGACCCTACCCCCTCCATACGCTGGCTCAGACGTGCCTCCCCTCACTCCTCCGCTCCTTACAGTGCCTCCCCTACCCTTTCCTGATCCCCAAGTACCCCTCTATCGCCGCTCACTCGTTCCTCAATACCTTGTAGCACGCCCCTGCCATTTAAATCATTCCATTCTGTCCACCGTTTTGTAAGCTCTGTCAAGTGCCTTGAGCGAAAGTGCTCTTTATAAATATAATGTACTCTATGGTTCTTTCGGTCAAGTCACGTGACTTTACCGAAAAAACCAAAGAGTAATTCCTGCAGTCACGAAAGCTTCAAATATATGTACACGAGTATCAGATTAGACAAGCGAGCGCTCCGGCCTGGGCCCCGACCCTAACGTCTGCCTCGTCGTGCAGGACGACGGCCTCAAGCTCCCCTTCCACAAGCAGCGGCGCAAACGGCGCAAGAAGGCAGAGATCGAGGCAGAGCAGGTGGCCAAGCGGCGCAGCCTCATGGACCTCATGGCGCAGGCCATGGACCCCACCAAGGCGCCGCCGGTGGCCCCGGCGGCGGCGGCGGCGGCTGCCCCGGCGACGCTCGGCCTCCCGGACGAGCTGTGGCAAGACTCGGCCGTCGACCTCTCGTTCTTCGCCGCCGAGAGCGGCTCGGGTTCCGTCGGCGCGGAGGGCTCGGCGCCGGCGTCCAGGGGCAATGCCGGCACGGCCGCCGTCCCCTCCCGGGGGGCCCCAGCCGATGTGCTCAAGGCCCGCCTGGACGCGGTGCTGCAGGCGCGAGCGCTGGGCTCGGCCGGATCGTCGGCGGCGGCGAGGGCCGGCCTCAACAACGGCGTTCTGACGGGCGGGGACGGCACTGCCGCGAGGGACGCGCTGGGGGCCGGCAGAGTCGTCCGCAAGCGCAGGGGCCGCAGGAAGAACGTGGAGGGGTTTGACATTAGCCTCATGACGAGCCACAAGCACGGCGGAGCGGTGAGCGGGGGGCGGGGTGTGAGATGTTGCCCACGGGGTTAAGTGGGTCACGGAGGCTTATTTGACCATACTTCACCTCGCCACGCAACACGACGGGTAAAAATAAAAAAGAACGCATCGAATGAATCTGAAACCAAAAAATTCCAAATTCTGCCCAGTTTTCTGATTGTCCGTCATTGTGGAGCTGGCCTCTAACCTGATTCTTTAAGTAATGGATAACTCTACCAATTTGGTTGCGGTTTCATTATTCAACCATTCGGGTGACACAAAAATATTTGGAATAAAAAACCTCTCCTCTTCCCCACGTTTTGAAGGACAGGATTTACAGAGAAGCAGGACGTTGGTCCGGCTGCTATTTGTTGGAGTAGTGCGACTCGTCACTCATAATATTGGAAGTTAATAAAAAAAAAGATGTTGACCCATCGGCTCAATGGCCGAATCGTGCGTCCCAGCTGTGTCTCACTCCCTCTTGACACCACTTACCACGCAGGACGACGCCGATGGCGCCAAGCCGGTGGACGAGGCGGCGGCCACGGCGACGGCGGCGGCGGCTGTGACGGCCGCGGTGACGGCGGCGGCGAGCGTGCCCGTGGTGTCGGCGGCGGCGGCACCGGCCGAAAATTCGGAGTCGCGAGTGCCGGTGGTGAGCCTGCAGGATGGCACCCGCCTGGCGGGGCATGACGCGCCATCACGGCGCCAGCTGGAGGAGTTCCTCAGGCAGAACCCGGCGTACACTGTGGACATGGCCAGCCTGCTGCCGGTACCAACACAACACCCCCCCCCGCCCTCACCACCACCCTTCCTTTCCTCCTTCCCACGTGTGACCTTTATCACACAGATGTGCGGAGGACTCCACACCTGTGTGCCACACCGACCATCAAAAATCATGTCTTTTTACGGAGATACAAACGCCCAATTCCCCTATTGGTTGCCAAACACAGCTTTCAAATTCCTTGGGAGGTCCACATGTGCCATTAGCGCATGTTACCCCACCACCAGCGTGGTGGGGTACTCCCACCTCTTCCAGCACGTCCGGTACAGCGTGGAAGAGTAGGCCAAATACCCTCTAGAGCTCCCTCTGGTGGAGTAGGCCCTTCCGCCACCGGTTGTGGCTGGTGCCATTTTGTGTTCGCCACGGCCATGGCTCGTTCAATGGGGGCGGCTCGGGGTCAGAGGTTACGGAGAGAGCTGCCGTGGGCGAGGCTGTGTCAGGAGTGGGACCCCGCGGATGAGTCGATCGGAGAGAGGGATGACGCGGATTGATTGGAGGCCTCGCGTTGGTGAACGTTGTGTTCTGTACCATGGCTTGGTGGGTCTGATAAGGTATTGATTCTTGATGAGATGACGCTTGGTTCAGCTGTAGTCAATGTAGCACGACACTGGGAGTGCCCGATAATAAAACGACGAGAAATGGCCGAGTGTGGTGGAGCGGCGCGCTGGGCAGGTAAAACACAGCCAGTTGGCACAGTAGGGGGCACAGGTGGTGCATCGGCCAGTCATCTCGGTCAACCCATGGCACCTGGGTCTGTCCCGTGACCTCCTGCCAGCGGACGTTCGACACTTCATATGGCCTAAAAGTGCATGTAGCCTGACACAAGCGCCGTGGTGACATCACCGCCGCTTAGTGGCAAATGGTGGTTGTTGTTGGCGGTGATGGTGTTTGTATTGATTTTGTTTTGATATCCCCTCGTTGTGGCTCTGCAGAGCGCCAGCGGCCTCCTGGTGGACCCCCTCGACAAGCCGAAGAAGAAGCGCCACCGCTGCAAGAACCCGCACAAGCTGGACGTGCGCAGACTCACGGGGGAGGAGCGCGTGCCCGTCGTCAACCGCCGCTCCGCCAAGAAGGTGGGCACAGGGGCGCCGTCACGAGCGTGGTGGTGGTGGGAGGGTACTAGTGGTGGCGGTGATGATGGTAGTGGAAAGGTACTAGCAGTGGAGGCGGCGGTGATGAGGGTGGCTGTGGCGGTGAAGCAGGTTACTGGTAATCCTGGTAACGTGGTGAGCTGTGGCGCAGTGGTTAGCGCGCTGAGCTTCGAATCCGGCGACAGGAATTTTTTAACCGATCCTGGTCTTTTCCGAGGTCGACACGGCCATAAATGAGAACCTGGTGTGTTGTCCAAACATCGTCACTCGGGAGACAAAGGCGAGGCCGTCCGTAGTGATGACCACCGCACCTCGTGTGCCGTGCCGACCTTCATAGGTGCTTTGTCTTTTGTTTTAGTTATGAGAGTGGTGTTGGTGGTGACAGTGGTGGTAGTGAAAGTGGTACTAATTGTATTGACCGGAGAGGCATGATATGCGCTGAATGACCGGTGATCCACAGGTCAGACTGCAGGCCAGCAACAAAAACTGATTATATCATTCTTTGGCTGACATTGGCCTTTCCGCTAAAACACCACCAACCTCCATTACACACAGCGACTGCCTGTTCTAGATATATATTACAAAAACAAAAGCACACGTCCTCTCCCTATCACCAACATTCACTGAGTAACAATGTTAACATCGATCTCTGGGAGAAACTGCTGCCGCATTGCCATCAGCGGGCGGCGATATGATACCACGTTGTTCCTCTTCCGGCGTCCATTCGTCTCCTGTTTGTACCCCGCCCCCAGATGGGCGGTGCCATGGCGCCCACGCTCAAGGAGCTGGCGCGGTGGCTGCAGGAGAACCCCGAGTTCGCCGTCCCCGACGACTGGGGCGAGGTCGTCAAGCAGTCAGTGAGTGCCGCCCCCATCATCATCATCGTCGTCGTCATCACTTGATATTTACAATGCACCTCCCACACAGTGCATCTCAGGGGGCTCCCCCTTTGGGAGCTGGCCCTGTGTGGCACAAGTTGAACGGGACACTGGCTTGCAGAGTGGGCCTTTGGGGCGATGCTACACTGTTGCGTGTTTTTCTCTAAGTAATTTACCGCATCTGGCAAAAATGGACCACAACACTCGCACAAGGGGGGGAGGGGGGTACTTTTCAGATGAACGTTGTGAATGTTAAATGTCCGCTGTGAAGCGGACGGGGTGGGGGGGGAGCGTATTTGTCGGTTAATCCACCCTCGTGGTATTAACCGGGGCGTCCGCTGGCCCTGCACTGCGATTCTCGGCAGTGAGCGTGCTCCCGCTCGGCCATGTCGCCACCCTAGTCCATGCCGTTGCCAGCACCTGGGTTAATTTCGTCAGCATGTCCAATTTCGGCCGATGGTCTTCGTCTAGTTCAGGGGTCGACAACTTGCGGATCTTTAAGGACCGCTTCGTGACGTTATTTATTAAGGACCACCGTCTCCTATTCACATGCATTGCTGCTCTTGTTTTTTTGACCGAACTCAAAAAAAATGGCTCCCCTTGTTATTTTGGTTGCCGACCCCTGGTCTAGTTGATGACGTGTGTGGACTTTCAGTCAAGATCGAGTCTGCGGGGTTACGTTGGTCATTCTCCTACTAGTCTAGTCGGCTAAAGCAGTCGCACGTTTAATCACCCGCACGCTCCGTGCCAATCTCTTAATCTGCACGTTCTCACGCTCACTCTGTCCGTCAGGGCTTCCTCCCCAACACCATGTTCGGCCGCATCCTCACGGGCCCCGTGGTGCCGGAGGAGGGCGCGCGCCGGCGCGGGCGCCGCCCCAAGGCCTCCGCGCTCCTCAAAGCCTCGACCAACTCCCTCGTGGGCGGCAGCGGCGGCGCTGGTGGTGGCGCCGGCGGCAACCTCCTTTCGGCGAGCACCGGCGACCTCGCAAACCTCGCAAACCTGCAAAGCCTGCACAGCCTGCAGCTCGCCAGCCTCATGGGCTTCCCGACGGCGCTGGGCGGCGGCGCCGGCTCGTCCGACGACGTGAAGGCCGCGGCCGCCGCTGCGGCGATGCTGCCCATGATGCTGCCGGGGTTGGGGCCCATGTTCGGCCTCGGAGGGCTCCTCAACACGGCGCTGGCGTCCTCCGCCGGCGCCGACGCAAACGGAAAAGCGGACGGGGAGCAGGGGACTTCCTCTTCGGCGGCAGCCGCGGTGATGGCGGCGTTGCTGAACGATGGGAAAGACGGCGGCGTGGACGAAGACGGCGCGCCGGGCACCAGCGGCAGGTCGGCGGCCGCCACCGCCGCCGCCACGGCGGCATTCAACAGCAACCTGCTGGCGTCCATCAGCCCCTTCCTGCTGTCCCCGCAGCTGCTCTACCCCTCCATGTTCCCACTGTCGGGCCTGGGCGTGACTCTGCCCGGCTTTGTGCAGCAGCAGCAAGAGCACCAGCAGCAGGAGGAAGAGCAGCAGCAACAGCTGCAGCAGCAGCAGTCGGGAATCGCCGTGAGTTCGACGCCGAGTAGAGCCCGTTCGAGCGTGGGCAAGGGCGCCGGCATGACGGGCAAAGCCAAGAAAAAGGCTGCGCTGAAGCAGGCGGCAGCGGAGCACCAGCAGCAGGAGCAGCAGCGGCAGGAGCAGGAGCGACAGAAACAGCAGCAGCAGCAGCAGCTGCTGAAAGTTGCGAAGAAGCAGGGGCGCGAGGAGATGAAGGAGGCGAAAGCACTTGCGGCCGCACGGGCAGAAGAGGACGACGATGACGACGATGACGACGATGATGACGATGACGACGACGATGACGACGATGACGACGACGACAACTCGTCAGACGACAGCAGTGGCGAGGAGGCGCTCAACAAGACGGGATTGTCGTCGCTCACCGAGGACGACTCCACGTTGCTGGACGACTCCGACTCGGACGCCGGCGCCGAGTGAAGCGCCGTGTGCCCTAAGGAATGGCGGGGGGGGCCGTGCGGACGTCGGCCCTTTGCCCTTTGCCCCCACCTTGTCGGAGCGGACCCGGTCGGTTGCTCGCTGCGGCGGTGGGGGGGGGGGGGGGTGGTTGCGGTTTAGCAGGAGCGGGATTTAATTTCGGCGACGCCACGGTGCGGCCGCCAGTTTTCCAGAAAAAATGTAAACTTCAGGAATCCTTTATTTTTACTTTTTCCTTTTTTTTGTAATGGACAATGATGGTCTTTCTCATTTTTGTTTATTACGTTCCCTCTGCGACTGCTCGGCACGTGTCTACCCGACCCAAATCTCCCCCGCCCACTTCCCTCCGGGCATCTCAGCTCTCCAACCCGTGCCCACCGCCCCCCCAGCATTTGTCGACTGAATAATTGAACAAACCGGCATCGATTTGGACGCACCGACTTGCCATTTCTTGGCTCCCGAGCGCCGTCACCGGACGCCGCCGCCGCCACCCACCGCCCTCCCGACCGCAGGAGCGAGCCAGGCGAGGGAACTTCACCGCACCCCGGCAAACGCAACGACGACGATCGTTTTGGACGTGCGAAGGTTGCGGTGGCAGCGGCCGTGTGGTCATTCGCCCGTGCCGCGATTGTGCCGGTACCGGTGTGTGCGAGTGTGTACAGTGCGTGCGCGAGCGTGCGAGTGTGTGAATGAGCGCAAACGTGCGCGCCGCGTAAGTGGCGAGTAAATCCGGGTTTAATCTTCCAACGGGCATTGCTGACTTGAGCCGAGCGTGCGTGCTTGCCCGCCCGTTCACTTGCTCGCCCGTCGCTCCCCCCCCCCCGCGCTCGTCCCTTGCGTCACCCCGTGAGCGAGCGGAGGTGGACGCTCGGGTAATGTGCGAGCGAGCGAACGTCGCGTGCGCACGCACGCCCTTTCCGCTCTCACCTCGAGTATTCAGGTATATTTTTGTTTTAGTTTCTTATTTTTGATTTTGTAATACTTCCTTGAGTCAAACACTGTTAAAAAATAATAATAATCACACGAGACACTATCTTATCACAGGTAATAAAAGCGATGACGGCAAAGTCGATCGGCTGCGGAAATAAGAAGAAAAATATAAAACCAATGAACGAAAGGGGAGAGACGCAAACCTCTCTCCCGCGACCGCAGTACTCGCTTACGACGTGAATGTGCATGGGGCCGGCCACGTGCCTGCCTTTCCCTAACACTGATTGTACGCGACTTGACTACAATTCACCGACACGCCGCCGCCGCTGCTGCTGCAGCTGCAACAGCGGCGACAGCTGCAAGGAGGGTGAAAGTTTTTAAGTGAAACGGCCGAACGTGAAGGGGACTTTTTTTCTTCCCCAGCGATCCCGCCAGCAGCAGAGCCTGGCGCGTGTCTGTGCGCAACTCGTTACTAACGTCGACAAGTGATTTAATATTGTAATAAGAATAACAATGATGACGACGACGACGACAATAATGTTCATAATAATGAGGGAATCTGAGTCCCCCCCCCTCCCCCACCGTGTGACTTTGTTAGTTATAGGCAAGTGGACACGAATGTTGATTTTTTTTTTATTAGTTGAAAGTTTGTAAATCGGCATGAAGTTTTTGCAGTGTAGCCAAAACAAATGGGAGAAGAGGAAAAAAAACACAACACACAAAAAAAGATGTAAAACCTTTAAAAAATATATAAAAACTGGCCCCTAGCGTGTTAATGACGATAGCTGTCTTTAGTTGACGTGCATTAGGATGACTTAGAGCGAATGTAACGTAAATCGGGGAGTTATATATCAGCGCCTCGTTGATTTCTCTAGTTATTTTTATTTGAAATCGACCCGGCCGTGTGTATTTTTTAAGTCGGACCATCAGAATGTGACTGTGGCCGCAGCAATAACCCCGGCAGCTATAAATCGGGTTACCGGGTCACCGGGTCACTGGCGATCGCTTCAGAGGGACTTTGACCCTCGGGTTGGGTGACCTTTTTAAACAGAACAACCCGTTCAACTTTTCACCACTGACAAATAACGGAAAAAAAAATCTGAAGTGATGGAATAACTCATCAGGTAGCACTACTCAGAGATCTCGCGATTTGTTTCGTTATTTTTTTAATTTAGGTTTTAATTAATTTGTTTTGTTTTTTCTCAAAGATGTATTTTAATAGAATTACTCGCGGTGCACTGTGTTGACTATTCAGGTACTCCTCCGTGCTCTGGCCCCACGGCCCCGCTGGTCTCCTCCAGGGTCCCGTTTCCCCGCGGGAAGGGGGCCGCAGTGTTGCGTAAGCGCGGGGTTGGGGTTGTCGGGGCCGGTTGTGTTAAGGGAGCCCCCCCCCCCCCCATACAGATTGGCGTAGTACAAAGAAAGAGCTCCCCCCCCCCCCTCCCCCACCTTGCTCCTCCGCCACAGGGAGAGTGTCGTACGCCTGACCACCTCCAGCTCGCCTAACCTCCGACCCCCTCTCACCTCCTCCTCCTCTCACTCCCTATCTCCCGTCCCCTCCCCACAACCAATATCATATCCTCCGTGATTAAAAGACGCTCTGGAAAGTAAGAGGCACCGCAAACTGGTGCCTGGTGGCAGTTAAGTTTTTTTTCAAATCTGGTCTCTCTTGCACGCACACAGCTCCCGGGGATTACAAGACTCATCCCTTAGCTTTTAAGCTACTCTATTTTGACGCATGATGGCAGCAAACATGTTCAGGGGCTGATTGTCGAGGTCTGCTAAGCCACGGTGAGAGGGCAACTTTAGCTTTAAAATACAGAGAGGAGGAGGGGTGGGTGGGGGAGTGTGTCTTGCAATCTGTAGACTACGTCCCCGCAGACTGGAGATAAGACACAGATGTCGTCGTCCTCTCCCCAGAGGCGCCCGTGGTAACGTGCAGTGCCGATGGCCAGGCTCGTGCTCGGTAGAGCGGGAGCGGGGGGTGTCCACTGCTCCACCCTTACCCCTCACCTCTCACCCCCATGCCTCCACCCCACGCCCCTGGAGCCCTTCTGAGTTTTGAGTGGCTGGGGTGGGGGTGGAGGGCGGTGGGACAGAAGGCAGAATGGCCAGGATCAACTCCTCTGGGGAGTTGGAGCTGAGTGCTGGTGATGATGAGTGTTTGAGGGTGAGTTTGGGGGCGGGTGAGTGGAGAGAGGAGGGGGTGGGGCACAGTGATGAATGAATCTCTCACCAGCGTGTCCGGTAGTGTGAGTGTGAGTGAGCGCGAGTATGAGCTAGTGTGTCGGTGAGCGCCCGCGCGCGTGTGTGCGCGCACATTTGCTGTCTGTGTATTGAATGTGGTTTTGTGAGTGTGGGTAATGCGTGTGAATAATTGATTGTGTGTTAGGTGCGCATTAACTGTAGGGCTGTTTATCCTGCGACGGTGTGGCAGTGTGCGTTCAATGTGCTCACGGTGAGACGTGTGGCCCGCGTGGTTGCGTCAGTGTTGGAACTGAGCGGCATTAATCAGTTTGTGGCAGCGGGCGAGTGTGATTACGGGCGAGGTGTGGCCGCCTGGGGTGTGACTTCAAGTGTAGGGGAAGTATAGAGGGGGAGAGGGGTGCTTGCCTGCAAGGCCGTCCTCCCATACTCCCCAAGTTGCTCTCAAACACTCAACCCCTCCCACGTACGCCACCCTGACCCACTCGCCACACCAATCCGGACTCGAACCTTAACGCCCTCACCACATGGCTCCTACACCCTGGAGGAACATCTGGCAAGACTGTAGCCTCCTTTTTGCCTTTCGGGACACGGCCCTGGTTATTTATTATTACCTCATGCTGAGCAGATATACGTATATTGATTAAAAAATAGAAAAATACAAAAAAAGTACAAAAATCTTGAAAAGACCGCCGCGTGCGTTTTACTGTGACGCGCGCCGGCCACGTGTAAAGGTGTACATTGTAGCTGCTGTAATCGCGTGTAGTGTGTAGCGACATGTAAAGTACAGACCTCGAGGTAACCTCATCATCATCGTCGTCATCATCCTCCGCGCGTTGCGCCACCGATGTTACAAACGTGCTGAATGTTGGAAGGAAAAAAACCACAGCGCACGCTCCGGTTGGGTTGACGTTTCCGTTTTTTGTTTTTATTTGTTGGTTTTGTTGTTTCTCTCTCTAGGTGTGCGTTTGCATTTGCTCCTCTGGAATATTTGTGTTTTTATTTTCCTTCAAGCACAAGGTGACTGTTTCAGAGTTGTTGTTTCCGCAAGGCCGTGAAAGCATCTCTCAAGATTTCACAAATAATGTGGTGGGGACTGCTGCTGCTGGTAACATGGCAAATTCCGCTGTTCTGCCTGCTCCGCTCATCGCATCGTGCTTGTCACAAACCGACCATGTAACACTACCAAACTCGCTGCAATTTCATTTGAATCCCGCCAGACCTTACCTTCAACCCTCAAAACTCTGAAAAACCCTCAGCCTCAGCAAAACACCACAACCCCCACTAATCCAACCAAAACCGCACCATAACTCCACCAATCCCACCGAAATCCCAGTGTTATCCCACCATAACAATCCATTCCACCGAAACCCCACCATAACCCTACCAATCCCACCATAAACCCTCACCAATCCCACCATAACCCTACCAATCCCACCATAACCCTACCAATCCCACCATAACCCTACCAATCCCACCATAAACCCTCACCAATCCCACCGTAACCCCCACGACCCACGAATATCCCACCAGCTCGCTGTTACACTACCAAATCTATCCCATCTCACAGGAGCCCAACTTGATTGGCACTCCACCCAAACCCACTCGAATCACCAGCAAAATATATCCCCTTCTGACACTACCAATTCCTCCGAGACTGCTCCTCCCAATCCCTAAAAAGAACACCCCCGACCCCAGAAAACTCCGACCGCACCCCCCGCGCGTCATCTCACTCGCGTTGCCGCCGCTGCTTCCTCGTGCGCCGCGCGCCATCATCGCTGCGTGTCGTGTGCGCGCGCGCGCGTGGTTTTTTTTTGCGTGCGTGTTCTCGTTGTGTTCGCGGACACGCTCTCGCTGTGTCCGCGAGTAACAGTCGCGGGGTCGTTTGTCCGTTAGCGGGCTTGCTTGTTGTTGCTGCTGCTGCTGCGGGCAGGCAACTCTGATTCTCAACACAGCCGCGCCCGCGCTTTGTACAAAGCGAGAGAGAGCGGGGAGAGATGAGAGTAAGAGTACTAATCTGCGTGCTGCCCCCCAAACCCCCCCATTGTGCCCCCCCTCTTCCCACTGTGCCCCCCCCCCCCACATCCTCTGCTTAGCCCCGGATTGGAAGCGGTGAGCGTGAATTTCTGCACCCGCAGTTACTGCCCCTGTTGTTACCCCCCCTGCCCCCCCCCCACGTCTCGTGTGAATTATGTCACAATGAAATGCAGTCCGATTTCCTCCTCATGATTGTTTGTAATTTATTCCTGAGTTGTAGATCAGAATTTGGGAGCCGATATTTTTATTAAAACTCATTCTTTTTTGCCAAACTGTGTCAATGGGAGTTATTTTGTTGTTAATGATATGTTTACAAAACACAGGTACCCCCCGTGCATACCCTTAACAGCGTATGCATGGCGCACACACAACGTGGTGAGTGGCCGCCACTGGGCCCGGCCGCCTTTGTTTCCATAGTGGGCGATGCTGATGTATCGCACCAGGTACTGGTTTGAGGACGAGCCGACCTAGAGGAGGATGAGCACCGCGTTTAGATATATTCGTCACTGGTGTGTTGGTGGCGCTAAGCGGGAATCGAACTCGTGCCTTCTTGGGCACGGTGCAAATGTGCGAGTGGGAATCTCGGCTTAAATCGCAGTGACCCCCCCACACTTCACCTTTCCTGACCCGCCCCCCCCTTTATTTCATCCCTCCCTGTGCCATCTCGCCGTGTTGACGCCACGGGGAAATATAATTGGAATGTCTCCCCTTAGCACGGCGGGGGCTCGCTGACGGGGATTGGTTTATGGGAGGGGGGAGACCCCATCCGAGGAATTTAAACGCTTCTCTCAGAATTTCGAGGCATTTTTTAAAATGTTTTGGTTACGGCTGAGTGGCTTCCACCGTGGTAACCACAGCCGGTTTGTGCCGGGTCGCTGGTAAAATCCTAAACGCGGGCGGCCTGCTGGAGGTGGTGGTTGGGGACCAGGGCTCGGTTGGGTAACACGGCCGAACGGTATCAGGTTCGGCCGCTTGTTGCAGAGGTTTATGGTTCAAGTCCAGCGGCTGCCCTCATGGCCGCAGGTAAAATAATGATAACCTTTAAAATACTACGCTCCATCTGATTCACAGCCGATGCTAAAGATGCCGTGACATCGTTTGGCAAGAGGCCATTGTGTGCCAGTGTCATGGTCCAATTTTCCCATCAGATTTTTAAAATAAATAAAAATCCCGCAAATGGCTCGTTTACATCTATCGGACCCTTTTTGGCCCGTGTCAAAATGATGGAAAAAATATTTTTTTTTACCCCTTTCCGGCAATAATACAGGAGTTGTTAAGATGTTCAAACACCAAACAGAGATACCCACCGCAAGGCTTCGAGTCTGCATTAACCACTCATGCTTTTGTGGTAAAACATACAAACAAGCATGCTCTGATAAGACATCAGAGCGTGTCTGATGGGAAGAACATGGGAGCGTGCTTGCATGTTTTGCCACAAGCACGTGTGGTTAATGCGGACTTTTGATGCCGTGCATTGGGGGGTGGTGCCTCTTTGGTGTTTGAACATCTTAACACCTGTATTATTGCCAGAAAGGGGTAAAAAATAATTCTTGTTTTCATCGCTCGTTTAGGAATATAAATAGCGGTCATCTCTCCCGCTGCGGCAACTTGGCAGGACCCTGCATCGCCCTTCCCAACAAGTTGCGAAACCTTGGCCACAATATCTGGACTTGTCTTCATATAAATCAATGCATAGATTTCTGTTTATATGATTGTGGTTATGGTTGTACTTTATTAATCCCTAATCTCTGCCATTACATACAATGAAACAAGAAATGGTTAAAAGGTAAAAACAGCAATGTAATACAATACACTATTAGACATCATTGTAAAAAAAAAATCCATCCCATGTGTTCGTGAATTTTTCTATATTTTAGGCAGGAAATTAGTTTTCAAATTTAGATTTTTTTTCTGGGTTGGGACCCCCCCAGACACCCTGGAAGATTTGGTTCCCCCCCAATGTTGACTCCATGGCTACGGCCTTGGCATACATTGTTATCAGAGCATGTTTGTATGTTTTGCCACAAGTACGTGTGGTTAATGCAGACTTAATGCCTAGAAATATGTATCTATTTGGTTTATGAACATCTTAACACCTGATTATTGCCGGAAAGGGTAGAACCTGTTTTTATGCAACTGACAATCGCGCTTCATTTCGGACGGAGCTGCCAGGGCCCGAGCTCCAGCAAATCGCAGGATCGCGAGAAGTGGTTGATGGTTTGAGGCCTTCATCCAGCAGGGGATGGATCATGGCTAAACGATGCCTGTGCTGTTGCAGGTGCACACGCACTGCGCGGACACTGGGCGCCTTTTGATGCAGTACAGCACGCAGGACACGTGTTGTTCCTGCGGGTCCCATAGGTGTCCAGCTTGAAGCAACAATCCCATTGTGCGTGGAGGCGAATGTGTTGCATGGCTACGAGGCGACCCAGACCGGCACCTAACAAGCGCATCACAACCCCCAACCACGACTGACGGAACTGATTGTGAAGTATAAAATGTCTGTTGGGCTTGAAGGGTCGAGGCTAAGAGAACGGGTTAAGGTCGTTAGGGTGATGGCCATTGTGTTCAGTATGTAGGGGTGTTGGGTTTATGTCGAAGTGTTGTGGTCAGGGCTGCATGTCGGGGCGAGGGATGTTCAGTCGGTGTTAAGGCGAAGGGTCTGTGAGGGAAATGGCAAGTCGTTAGGGATAGTTGTTAGGGCGAGCTGTAATGGCTCGGGCTCGTTCTTAGAGAGATGGATTGCTCGGGATAGTTATGGCTGGTTATTTCGGGGTGGTTGGAGCGAGTTCAGTTTGGTTGGTTAGTGCTCGCTGATATGACGAGGTCTAGCTGCCTGGACCGGTAGTCCGGCTTGTTCTATGGCTCGTTATGGTTGGTTGAGAGTACTAGTTGGAGGTGGTTGCTATGGGTACCGTAGTTGGTTCGTGTTGGTTGCTATGGGTACCGTAGTTGGTTCGTGTTGGTTGCTATGGGTGCCGCAGTTTCATTCGTGTCGGTTGTTATGGGTAACCGTAGTTTTGGTTCGTGTCGGTTGCTATGGGTAACCGTAGTTTTGGTTCGTGTTGGTTGCTATGGGTACCGTAGTTTTGGATCGTGTCGGTTGCTATGGGTAACCGTAGTTTTGGTTCGTGTTGGTTGCTATGGGTACTATAGTTTTGGATCGTGTTGGTTGCTATGGGTACCGTAGTTGGTTCGTGTTGGTTGCTATGGGTAACCGTAGTTGTGGTTCGTGTTGGTTGCTATGGGTACCGTAGTTGTTGGGGGGTGAGGGCGAGGGGGCTTTAGGCCGCGACCCCCGCCTTGCCGCCAAGTCTCGCAACGGATTCCTCGCGCATCGCCGCGGGGGAGCCATGGCGACCATCACGACCATCCCTCACGGACATCCATCACGATCACCCCTCACGGTCATCCATCACGGTCATCCATCACGGTCATCCCGCTGGAATGCGACGTTGACCGCATTCCGCTGCAGCCTCGCCGCCAAATTCGCGGCAAAGGACATTGGGGGGGGGGGGGGGGTGAAAGCATCCCCCGCCACGTTAACATACAGACCGCGTACAGTAGCATCGCCTATACTAATTACTTGAACGCGCGGGACTTTATTTACGTACACACGCACGCAGACACACACACATACACACAGACACACGCACACAGACACAGACACATACAGACACACGCACGCAGACAGACACACGCACGCAGACACACACACAGACACACGGACACACACACAGACACACGCACACAGACACAGACACACATACAGACACACGCACACAGACACACGCACACAGACAGACACACAGACAGACACACGGACACAGACACACACACACATGTCCCGCGTCCACGACACCCGCGACTTGTCGTTGCAGGAGGTTGCGCAACTGTTGTCGTATTCATTGAAATTCGTCCCGAAATGTCCCAGTGTTTGTGGCGTTGTTTGCTGCTGCTGCTGCGTGCGATGGCAACACCGCGCACCGCGCTACAAACACAATAACATCCCTTGTGTGTTGTTTCGGAGTGAACGGGGAAGTTCATGGGAACGAGCAGCTCGGTGCCGTTTGGCTTTAGCGATCGTGCTAAACAACGTGCGCGTGCTGTGTGTTGTGTGTTCCCCTCACACACAACGACACGCAAACCATCTTATTTGACGTGTTGTGTGTGTGTGTGTGATGGCAACCGTGAGGGGGGTGTAGGTCTGTGACTCTTGCGGGGAGTTCCGCGCGCTCCCTTTAACCGCCCGCGCGTGTTGTTGTTGCGCGCGTTGCCACGGCAACCGCCAGGATGTTGTTCCCGGCGCGCGACCCCGGGGAGCGGGAAACACGCGGCGTTGCCATGGCAACAGCCCGCAGGGACACGGGGAGGGGCGGGGCCGGCCGAGGAGGGGTCGGGGGGAGGGGCTGCCCCCGCGGTCTCCACCTCTTGCCTCGCCCCCCGCAGCACGCGGGGTCACGAGCTCATGCCCATATTAGGGAGGGGGAGGGGTATTTATAGACCCCCCCCACCCACGTGTACCCCACCGCCCCCCGATCACCAGCATAAGCCCCGCCCCCCTCAATTCCACATCCCCTTCCGCGCCACCTGAGTCAATCGTTGCCATGGTTACCACTATTACCTTTGTGACCAGGGTAACGAGCCGGTTCCTCACAAGGTACCCACTACCCCACACCACCCATTCATTACCACGTGATAAGCCTCTTTGTTAAGCTATCATTTGTGGACAGGTCGATTAAGAAAAATAAGTTAATAGCTCCGTTTTATTTATATATTTTAAAGTGATTTGTTTACCTTTCCTCTACTTTGCACTCCTGTCCTGTTGCGTGTACTGTTTGTTGTTGTAACGTTCTGACCCGCCCGTGCTGGACATCTGTGAAAAAGAGCTTCATAACTCATCGGATTCCTTCTGCAGTCTAAATATTCGGATTCAGAAAATATTCAAATTCTGATTACCATGTCCGACGATTCTCACTCCATTTAGTCGATAGAAGTTTAATGATTGCTCGTCGTTTGGCGTTGAAACTCGAATGTTACATTCACATTCTTGGTTCTTTCGGTAAAGTCACGTAAATAGAAAATAAAAAATATATAAAGAATACAAAAATTAAATAAAAATTTAATAATACATTCTAAATAAGAAAAGCAAAAAACACAATAAAAATAGTAAAATTAAATTAAAAAAATGAAAATAATAAAACCAAAAAACCCACGACGTTTCGATCGCGCAACACAAGTGGTCTTTATCAGGCGCAGAGAAAA